AAAACCCCCAGCTCTGTCCAGACCCACCATCGCAAGGCCTGCCCTTATAATAAAGTTTTATTAGTACATAGCCATGCTCAGCCACCAACTGCCCTGTGGTTGCCACCTGAGTACAAGTACTCGGGCAACAAAGCCCACACGGCCCACAGAGCAGACAGTATCCAGTCTGGCCCTTGCACAAAGGCTGTCGACACTGCTCTGTGACCTCGTCACACCTGCTTCTCCACATACCTCGCGTGGCTCCCCCATGCTGGGCTTAATTGGAGCCTGCGTACCGGCCCCACCGCCATCTTCCAGTTGGCCAATGCTCGCTCACCCTCAGAGCGGCCTCCACGGACCTCCACTCTACATCCAGGTTTAGACACTCAGCGGGCACCTTTGAATATATAACCATCTGTGACGGCGTTCCTCGTCCACATGTTCTGGTCTCATCTCTAGAGGGATCATGACTATGTACTGATAAAGCGGTGCCTTGGATTATGTATTTTTGGAGGGAGAAAAAACTTTCACTAGGTAAAAGGTAACTTTTGTGAGTGTCACATCCATACTTAGTCTCATTATATCTATTTTATAAGCTGACAAATTAACCATTCAGGACTAAATCTGAACTCCCTTTTCTTTCTTCCAGTTTTAAATTTATACACACTATTTTTATACACAATTATTTATACACACACTATTATGTATATTTATTTTATATACACACACTATTTACTGTGGAAAATATCTGAAGAGACCAAAAACACGAACAAAATAAAACTCACCTAAGTGTTGGGGATGACCCTCCCCTTGGAAAAGGGGCACATGGTCTGCGTCCCCGGGAAAGAGAGGAGCAGGTCCTCTCCAGCCCCCCACCTGGCCCCCCAAGGAAGCGAGAGGCGGGGTGCCCAGCAGGGCGGGCTCAGCCTCTGCAGGCTCTCTGCCCCTTGGAGCGCCCTGCTGTGAGGGGACAGCCACCCTCGCCTCCTCTTCCCGGAGAAGAGCCGCTAAGTGAGCGGTTTGGGGAATGGAAGGGAAGGAGAGCATGTTTAATTCGGGAGTCACGAGTTTGCAGTCCAGTGTGGACGTGCACACTGGCCACATTTCCAGTCTGGCTTCAGCTGGCACAAAGTCCATCCTTTGATATGTATCTATCTAGCCCTGTGTTATGCCCCATTAAGACCCAATTCTATAATCCTATATCCCAGAGAGAAATACTAATAATTACTTCCCAGTCTTTTCTACAAATATTTAAAAATGTTTTTCTTATTATAGGAAATAAGAAAAAAAGCCCTAGAGATTTAAAGATTAAAAGTGAAAAATTATACCCTTACTTTTCACACAGTGGCTCTCAATGTTCTCTCTACTACTTTAACAACTAGCCGCTCCTTTCATATTAAGTTTATTCTAATGTTAATAAAATTACAAAGGACCCCGTCTTAAAACTACTATATAGCCCAAAGCTCACCCCTACAGACTCCTAAACCACGTTAGACTAATGGAAAACAGTAACTGTGCTATCCCAATACCTACTGTACCTTATCACAAAAACAAATGCTTTTGTAATAACAAGAATACCAGAGTAATTTTATTTTTATGACAAAGCTTTCTACTGAAGATGCCAAGCAAACACTGTATTTTCTTCTGACATTTCCTGGCATGTCAGCACATGCAAAAAGGACACAGCTCGCAGAGGAGGAGGGGACAGCAGAGGCTGGGGGAGAAAGAGGTCACCACATGGGTGTGGGCGGCAGCCCGGATGCCCAGGCGGACAGAGACCAGGCGGAACCTGCGCAGGCAGCACGGTCCACCGGGCGGGGTGGACTCCGGCACAGGCGCTGGGCCCTCTGGAGAAAGCAGCAGCAACAGCTCAGCCAGCCCAGCATCCCTGGCTGACGTCTGGACAGAGGACCTCCCCCCGACTCCCTCTCACCCCTTCCCCTCTGCCTCCCTGTCCATAAACGGGCAGAGCCTTGGGGAGTCGGGGGAGTGCGGGAAGTGAGAGGATTCTACGCATCCACTCATGCCTGCTCTGCTGCAGTGAATAAAGGCTCCACTGTGACTTTCAGTTGGGCCTGTCACCCTCATGATCCACCTGACAGCCGTCAAGGACAGAGGTCAACAGTGACAAACCACCAGAGGCCAGAGGCCAGCTGGTGAGGAGGGAGTGCCCTAGTGAACTCCGAGCTCCCTTCCTCCCTCCCTGCTTCAAGGCAATGCTGGTTCCTTCACTTGTCAGGGTGTCACCCCACAGAGAAGAGCAAAACTCTGAGAGACTACTTAACTAAATCTGGCTTTAACCTACAGAAAAACAAGCAGTTTGTACTGAAAGAATTTTTTTGAACTCAAAAAAGATAGAAACTCTGATAATGGAAGCCCCTACCCCACACTCCTCAAATCTCAAGCAAGATGAGCATCTGAAATAAGATTATAGCACAACATAACAGAAAATATGGAGGTCAAATTTTCCCTCTCTGCATATTGTGGAGTAATTTTTGTTCCTAATATTTTCTTCTTGAAAATGGGTGCTAACTCAGCGGTGAGCAAAGAGGAAAATTAATTCCATGGCTGACACTTCCCCTTTCACATTTCCGAACGTTCTGAGCTGTGGATTCATTAAATTCCACAGCCTGGAAATGAGGCCATGCACACGGAAGTACGTGTGTACGTACCAGGAGCATGTAGGAATCCTGGACCATGAGGTGGGCCGAGGGGCTCTGGACCACGCCCCGTCGCAGGTGAACCCCATGTGAATTGCTCCTACTGTTCCCTACACGGTACCTTCAACCCACCTTCTAAAAGCACTAACATCCTCCACCTGACTCCTAAACTGACACCCATCTCTAGGAGTGGGTTCTTCTAGCTAATCCTGCACGCCACACCCAGATAAAGCCTCCTAAAATGTCAGTGTCATCGTGTTCCTCTTTCGTTCCAAACCCTTATTTCTTTGCAGGGCCTGCAAGATAAAGTACAGACTCCTCAACCTGTCAACCAGGAGTTTTAAGCTAATGAGCTCCACCCTCCTTACGCAACTCTCCCCCTTTGCGAAGGTCTCACCCAAACATGGCAGGCACAGGACTCCTCTGCTCTGTCCTCGGCTGTGCTGTCACACCACCCACGGTAGCCCTCCTTTGTTCCTTTCTTCCAACGACTTCTGTTCCAAGGGCTAGGTGAAATTCCACTTCTTCCATGATGCCCTCCCCAACCCACTTCTTTGAAATACTCAAAGTAGTTTTATGGTACTTAAAGTTTTATGGATCTTAATCATGTATTGTTTCACAGGCATTTGTCTTATGACTAAGATTATGGACAACAAATTTTTCTCATGTGAGGAAAATGTTTCCTCAAATTTTCCTGTTTTTCTAAGTTGGTAATTTATTAAATAAATTAACTGACATGCATGACAGCAAATCAAATACCCACTCTTTAAAAAAATTGCTCTTATTCTTTATTCATTTTTTTTTCAACAAATATTTTTTGCCTACCACATGCCAGTGACTGTTAGGGAGTGGGATGCTACAGTGAAGACGCTGCTCAGAGTCAGGCTACCAGGGAAAACAAAACGGCCTCACACCCCCAGTGACCTCATCCCAGTCGTGGAAGTGCCCCGACTTGCAGGATGGTGGTGGGCAGGGTGTGCTACCAGGGAAGTCACCAGAATGCAGGCCATGAAAGCCACATTTTGAGAAGGAGCACGAGGGAACAGGAGATGCAAAATCCCAGGTCAGAAAGAGCCTGTTTACTCATCTGACCACTGGTGAGCTCACTACCTCGCTTTCACATAAGAGCCTGGCCCACACACTTTTCTCCCCCTCCACATGTCTGTGCCCCACTGACCGTGCAGCCTGCCTCCATGCCCTCGTTCCAAAGGGCCATTACAAATCAGAGGGTTGAGGGGAAAGCCTTTAGTACAACCTTTAAAGGCTCACAGTTCCCTAGGCAATGGGGATGGCAGGGTTCCAATGAGTAGTTCATTTATTTCCAATTAATACTCAGGGTAATATGATTCTGGTAGAGGAAATACAAACTAAAAGTTTTGACTATTATCAATTTAAAAATATTTCTCAAAGCACATTAACAGTGTGCAAAATTCAGAAGGCACCTCCATCATATTGCTATATAATATATGCTAGCTTTTCATATATTCCCTAAAGATAGCAACACAGATAAAAATTTTAGTTGCTAAAGTGTTAAATTTTAAGCAAAACATTAGCAAAGCTAACTGAAATATTATTGAATATTAGCTAAAAAAAGTTTATTCCATTGAAAATATCTAAATTTGATGTAAAGCTAAAAGTCATGATAAGTAAACAACCGAGTATCCACACAGAAGAGATTTATGAATAAGTGACTCGAAGAGTCACAACATTCATTTCTTTCAACTGAAAGAAAAGCTCTCTGTGGTTTTACACAGCCTGCCACAAACCAGTGGGCCAGAGGATCCAAACGCTGAGCCCTTGGGGGGTGGTCTGGCCGGTAGTCGCCACCAGAGCCACAGACAGCCTAGGTGAGGAGCACTCCTGAGCTCTCAGGTAAGGCGCTCCTGAGCTCCTCCCCACGCCAGCTGGAAGGGAACACCTGGAGACGGGAAGCAGAACCCTGCTTGCGTACCGAGGGCCCTGGCAATTCTTACATGTACTGCGGCCTGCCCGGCGTGTCCAGCGCCCGCCATGGCGACTGGCAGACCCGAACCTGTCCTCACTGCACAGCTTTCTTCTGTGCCGATGCTCTTTCCCCGCTGCGCTAATCAAGTTGTGACGACGCCTCTGGAGCACCAGCTGCTCCATCTCAAGGTGCCACTCACGCCAGCTGCATTTTCGGAGTAGGAGATCACTGCTCCACTAATTGGGCCCAGGGAGCACACTAGCTTCATTCATCAGCGCCGTTCCTCCCCCACACAAACAGAACCGAACACGCACGGCACACAGGCGGAGAGGCACTCCCACGCACCAGCCCCGGCCAGCTACTGACTCATGCTTTAGGAACCAGTCAACAGCTCTCTTGTGACCGACTTGCCCTACCTTTGCTGCAACAATGCTGAGGCCCATTCCATTCTGTTTTTTTAGGGTCACCGTGATTATTTCAGGTTCTTTCCTCAGAGGTTGAGCCTAAAGGATAAAAAGGAAAGGTTTATCTTATGACTAAAATGGAAGTGCTTTGATATGGTTAGACAACTCATGATCTAGTAGATCTCATTCACTATAGTAAAAAGGAAAGCAAACAGAAGTGGGGGGGAGGAAAGCTAAAAAAAAAAAAAAAAAAGCCATTAACATAGACACTCTCACACCTGTAATCCTAGCACTCTGGAAGGCTGAGGTGGGAGGACTGGTTGATCTCACGAGTTCAAGACCAGCCTGAGTAACAGTGGCACCCTATCTCTACCAAAAAGAAAGCAAAATAAAAGAAAATAAAACCCAGCCAGGCGTTGCAGCACATACCTGCAGTCCCAGCTACCCAAGAGGCTGAGAAAGAAGGATCGCTTAGTGCCTACGACTTGGAGCCTGCAGTGAGCTGCAATGACACCACTGCACCCTACTCAGGGCAGCAGAGCAACAAAAATAAACAAGGCAACTGAGAACCCCTCCTTGCAACCCCCCATCCTTTCAACAACAACAACAACAAATAGAAGACTCTTCCTGCATTAATCTGGTTAAACTAAACACTGATGCTCTTGACTGAAGTCTTAAAGATGAATCTAGTCATAAATGCTATTTAAATGCTATTTGAAGAACTTAGCTTATAAAACAAAATTAAATGTCCATTACTATCAGTTTAGAAAACCTAATCATAAAGACAAAATTTAGTTTTCACTTTATTACCTTTCAAAATAGATTATCTCACTTTTTCTTTTCAAAGAAGGAATTTAAACTTATTTTACACTGTCTATGGGGAATATAACAAAAAACGGTCATAACGAAGGTGACCCAACATCCATGTCCCTTGTGAAAACTCAAGTCACATCACTCTAAACAGCAATGGCCAAGCAGCCGTGCAGCTGAGGCACAGCACTCAAAGCTCTCTGCCATGACGTGGGGCCCAGCAAGGCAGGCCAGTTCTTGAATACTCATAAAATAATGGGAAAGTTAAATTATTCATTGAAGTAACATGTTGTATACATGTCATTCCTCACTCCAAAGATTAAACAAAATTAAAGAAGAAAATTAACAGTGCATACACACTAAAGGAGAACTTAACTAATTAAATACATATGTAAGCATGAAGACCCACTATCTAGAAGTGGTAATTATACACGTGGCTTTTTAATTGAGAAGGAAAATAACTGAAGCCTGGGAGAAAATACTTTAAAGAAAATAAATTAGGTAACATCAGAATTTTTTAAAAACTCAAGATCTGAAATCTGAGGAATCTGAGAATACACTAGGAAGATGAAATAAATAGTGATTCTGTCTAAGAAGGTACTTGTTTTTCATAAAATCTAGTCATCAAAAATTGCTGTTATTACTTGGAATTTGACAAACAACAGTTAGTAAAGTCAATAAAAAGTATTAAGGGTGTATTCACTTTATCCGTAGTTAAATGTGATCACATATTCAATGTAACAGAGCATTTATCAATTAATTCAATTTTTGGAGATGTCTATCACAAATCTAAAGTATGCCTGGAAGGCAAAATAAATTAATTACTTTAAATTTAATGTTATAAAATTTTTTCTTTAAAATGCATGAAGCTAGGAAATACTGGGATTTACCACTCCTTCAAAAAGATACAAAATATTAGTAAATGATTTGATGTATATACAAGATCAAAGACAGAACTGAACTATAAAAGAATAAAACACTTTTGCGAAAGAAAAAGGTTTTTCTAATAAAATCTGTTAAAGCTATCATATTAATGTGTTTTAAGATATGCATCAAAATTAAGAGTGGTATCATTGTGTGCATAAATATTCTTCGAAAAGTGCCTTTGTTTATAGAGGAAACTGTATAGACATGGCTTGGGGAAAAAATATATAAATTGTGGTTTTAAGATTTTTGAATAAAATCAGTATTTAAAGGTAAGTTTAAAATTTTCCTATCACAATACTCAGTGTAAGCAGGAAGGAATTTTCACCAAATCTTCAAGTCCTAAAGAACACACTTCCTGTCACAGTCCATCCAGCATTCTCAAAATACTTGCCAGTTCTGTGTTCTCACGCAGAAAGTGACTTTCATAATCTGCACCTTCAAAATATATTGTCCAAGTACCTGGTGAACGCGTGTGAGGAATTAACCTGCAAAATCCTAAGGAGAAAACAAGTGAATTATAAAACTAAAAAAGTCACCACGTCAAGACATGACTATTAACAAGAGAAGATGAATTATCGACTGCTTAATATCTAAGGACATTATTTTTCTTATTCTGTACCTTTATTCCCTCTGGAAACTGAATGATCAGACATTTAAAATTTCATATTTGTTTTGGTCCAAGAGAATTTCAACACCAAGTTGAAAAGTGAAATTGGTCTCCCCATCCTGTGTTCCATAGAGCTTTTTTCTAACTTCTGTAAGAATTATCGAACTGCCTTGTCATTACCTCCTTGCAAACTGTTTACTCCACTAGACTAAGAGATCCTCCGTATCATTCAGGATATCTATTTGGCAAAGGGAAGGAAGAGAGTGAGGGCGTCAGAAAGCAGATGCGGTAGCAGGCTCAGGTTCAGCAACTCACACCTGAGAAAAAGATGAGGTGACTTGTACAATTCTTTGTACAATTCTGGAACCTCCCTCATGACTCTTTGTAGAAATGTCCTTACAAGTTCATACTCATTACGATTCTTACAAATAAACTTTAGAATCATTTTATACTCTGATGTTTTCATCTAAGACAAATGACATCTTTGTAAAACTAAGCCTTTCGATTCAAAACATATTATTCTTCATTTAGTCAAATCTTATTTTGTGTTTCTCAGTAATTTTTTGACAAAGTCCTATCATGTAGGCCTCGCACAACTCTTGGTTTCTCCAAAGCTGTCACCTTCCTCCCACTGATGGCAGCTCACACTCGCCCCGCACCCTGTGGGCCAGGCGGGGCTTTTCCCGGCACAGCCTCACCGAGTCCCAGTGACCTGGGGACTGGCTTCAGCTGACAGTTTCATCCACTGCAGTGTCCCATCAGTGAGGATACTTCTGACTGTTATTTTTGGACAATTATGAGGTTGTTTGTGATAGAGGGAAAAGGAGATGTCAAAAACGTATTTGGTTAAAATAAGAATATAAAGTAATCTTAGTTAGTTTTATTCCTTTTTTAAAAATCATTATTTTGATCCAGTTTCATCAAATGGTAACCTACTCCTTATTTCTCTTTCCCATGTTTTAGAGAATCACAAATTTGTCATGATTTTGAAATTTTAGCAATTGTAAATCATTTTCTTACATTTTCAAATATCAGCTTTCCAAAACAAGTTCTAGACCTTACAGCAAACAGAAATTTTGCTTTATTAGCCTAAGGAATGCACCACAGACCAGGTATGAGTCCAGGCTGGTTATATAGTCTTCTCTCACAGAACTGTATTGTATGGAAAAAACAAAAGCATATACATTGAGAGAACAAAGTAGTTCTTTAATCAGCCTGCAAAGAATTGAGTGTGAAGAATTAAAAACAATGATGTCATAAAAGAAAACACTCAATTCTTCTGTAAGTCTTTTAAAGGCATGTGTATACTAGGCCACATGTATTATTATCATTTAACACATATGAAATAATGTGGTGATGCCAAGACCATGATGAAATATCACATATGTCCTAAAATCAATCATTTAAAAGAGCCCATAGGGAAGTCACAAAGAAAACTTCATCAAGTCAAGAGCTCACTGTCTCTAACCTAACAATACTGTATGGCATATATTACAAAACCGGCAGTTGTTTGCATACTATAAATTATATACATGTGCAAAATACTAATAAATTAGTCTCCCTGCATGGTTATTTGTAAGATATTAAATGAAAAACTACTGAGCATGCAGCAGGCCCATGTGAGGTGCTAAACATGAGAGGAAGTGCAGCCTGGCCCAGCCAAGGCTCTGGGAGCCCACCCTCAATGTGGAAGACAGGCCGCTGCACACATTTCAAATGTACATGACAGGTACAACAACAGAAGCACGCAACACAAGAATTACTCCTAGGCAAGGCATGCTAATACGCAGGAACGATACTCATTTTCCTGATAAATGGATATCTGATTGGGATTTAAGAACACAAAAGTATGCAAGTTCAACCGCAGGAGAGTCCTGACAAAGGTGTGTTGCATGTAGGTGCAACACACAGCTTAATAATAATAATAATATATAGTATGTGTATTTCAAGGTAGGGAAAGAAGACTATCAGGAGATGATGTCATGCACTACAGTTCACACTAATCCTACAGGTGATGGAGAAAGAGTTCCTAGCAGGAGAGAGCCATAACAAGCCCTGGTTTTAAACTCCCACGGCAATATGATGGACTGAGCAGAAGAATGGAGAACTGGGCTGGAAGACTGTCAGGGGACTGCTTCCGTAATTAACACGTGGGGCTGAGGGGTGTCGGGGAAGCAAAGCTGGCTGTAGTCTCTGACGTGCTGAGGTGTGGCAAGGCTGGAGGACACCCTTACGCAGCTGTGTGGCCCAAGGCTTGCTGCTTGGCAGCTCTGCTGCTGGTGGTGGGTCCACCACCATGTGGTACGAGGCCTCCAGGTGCTTTTCTCGGTCAACACCTGCGCACAGAACCAATGCTCTGCAGACTAGTTCAGGGCCACTCCAGAGGAACACTGGCTGAAACATCCTCACAACAGCCCTGCAGCCCGGCCCTCCTCCCGTCCCCATCTGGTCACAGGTGCCACCTATACCAGGACTGAAGGCTCTCCCTGCCCATCCCTGCTCCCAGCCCTCATCCTTCACACATGGTTCCCTACAAGACCTCACCCCTGCCTCTCCCCACCTTGGCTCTGCTTCCCTGAGGGCGGAACTGAGCACGGAAGGCGCTTCTGGGAAAGCTCCAGTGCCAGTTGTTTTGCAAATACATTTCATTAAAAGAAGGAGCCTTTATAAAATGACTTTTTGTAAACAGTCAAAAACGCTAAAGATATTTTTGAAGAGATAAAAATGTACTTATTGTGGTGAGTGACATATTCATCAAAGTTAATCACACTCACAAACTTTATATACCTATGGGCATAAAACCTTAACTTCTCTATTATTATTACTTTTATTTGTTTGACCCCTACATTTTAGGTCTATTCTTCTACTCACCAGAACTGTTCTCCACATTACAAAAAAAGTAGCAGAATGGGATTAAAATGTGGTCTAATGCAAAACCTTGTATGTCAGGAATAATCATGGTGTTTTCAATCAATATACATCAACAAGAAAACGTAGCAAACGTTATACAATAAAAACCAGGGAAATCAGTTGCACTCCAACTCTGCAGCGCTACGAAAGGGCCGTATGTGAAGCACACGGCACGCTGGAGCTTGGCACTGGTGACCACAGCAGCGGCCATGCAGCAGCCCCCACCCCTCCCCCACTTGCTGGGTACTATCAACACGCCCATTTCGCAGATGGGAAATCAAGGCACAGAGGTAACTGGGCCATGGCAGCACAGCCTGTGGGTGACAGAGCTGGGTTTAGAGCCCAGGCAGTCTGGTTCCAAAGCTTGTGTTGCTCTTAACTACTCTGCTGTGCCGGCACCAGCACAAAGTTGACAATGTAGTTCCAGGAGAATGAATCAACCCCCTAGGCTCACGCAATACCAAGGGAAGGGCAAGAAACGGTCCCCTGCCATCAGTCCAGGCAGGAAACCATAGTGGGACGCCAGTGGGCAGAGCAGATGCTCGCTGTAGGGTCACAACCCGCCTACAAGGGCTCTGTGCCTAGACACGCCTGATTCCACGTCACCACGCGAGTGTCTCCGAGTCAGTGGCCCACGGGCTTCCCCAGACGGCCTGGGTGCACTCCCACGCGAGTGGGCTGCCCCGTGCAAGAGGACAAGGAGAGACCTGGGTGCACTCCCACGCGAGTGGGCTGCCCCGTGCAGGAGGACAAGGAGCGACCTGGGTGCACTCCCACGCGAGTGGCCTGCCCCCGTGCAGCGAGGACCAAGGAGACGACTGGGTGCACCTCCCACGCGAGGTGGGCTGCCCCGTGCAGGAAGGCACAAGGAGTCGACCCTGTGCGTGCACTCCCAGCGAGTGGGCCTGCCCCCGTCGCAGGGAGGACAAGGAGGCGACCTGGGTGCACCACGCGAGTGGGCGCGCTGCCCCCGTGCAGAGAGGACAAGGACCCACCCTGCGGCGTGCGCTCCCACGCGAGTGGCTGCCCCGTGAGCGAGGCAAAGGGACGAGACGACCTGCGGTGCGGCTCCACCAGCCAGTGGGCTTCTGCCCCGTGCAGGACGAACCAGGAGAGACCTCTGGGTGCGCTCACGCGAGTGGGCTGCCCCCCGTGCCCAGGAGGCACAACGAGCGACCCTGGGGTGCGCTCCCGACCGCGAGTCGGCGACTGCCCCCGCAGGAGGACAAGGAGGCCGACTGGGTGCCTCCCACCGCGAGTTGGGATGCCCATGGCAGCGCAGGACAAGGAGGCGACCTGGGTGCCACTCCCAGGCGCAGTGGGCGCCCCGTGCAGGAGGCACCAAGCGAGCCGACTGGTCACTCCCAGCGCGAGTGGGATGCCCCGTGCAGGAGGACAAGGAGGCCTGGGCTGCAGCTCCCACGCGAGTGGGCTGCCCCGTGCAGGAGGACAAGGAGCGACCTGGGTGCACTCCCACGCGAGTGGGCTGCCCCGTGCAGGAGGACAAGGAGCGACCTGGGTGCACTCCACGCGAGTGAGCTGCCCCCGTGCAGGAGACACGAGGAGCGACCTGGTGCACTCCACGCAGCGGACTGCCCGTGCAGGAGGACAAGGAGCGACCTGGGTGCACTCCCACGCGAGTGGGCTGCCCCGTGCAGGAGGACAAGGAGCGAAATGCTCCCTTCAACTGGGTCACAGCTCAGGCTCAGGCAAGACAAATAACACTTACCTCTCTGGCACAGAGGGTCTAGAAACTCTTGTAAACCATTTGGAATGTTTCTGACAACATCACAAGAATAGCCGTCTTCTGGCAACAGGAAAGGCAGCTGCAGGTCAGGGTCCTCCTCCAGCTGCACTTCCCTCCCGTCACTGCGGGCCAGCTCGTCTGCGGTGTTCTCAGCCACGGCCACTGCGTTTTCTATAAGATCCTGCTCAGAAAACAAACAGAAAATAAGAAAGAGATGCTCAAGCCATGGTGCATGGGACCAACAGCTACTCAAAACCTGTGTGGGCACCGTCGTAGCATGGCTCCCCTCACAGACTCACACACACACAGATGCATCCATGTTTATCCAACACCAGTTTCCAAAGATCAACCCACACGCAAGCTGTACACATTTTATATATGAACCAAGATTTTAATTTTTAATTTTAAATAAGTTGTAGCTTTAAATAAAAACAAACTGCTCAATCACAAATATTTTTCTCTTTTCCAAAGCAATTATTTTTCTCACACAACTCTTTAACTTTCAGTTGTTAATAGTAGAATCTCTAATGACACAGGGAAAAGCCCACACAACGTTAAATATAAAAAAACAGTATAAAATATCTATGTAGTATTTTTTCAAGTTTGGAAATATATCAATATATAGGAGTTATTTCTGAATTTGGGGTTTACAGGTGATTTTTGTTTAAAAACCTTTTATTGACACATCGTCTACAAGAGGAAAGCTCACAAACCCTAAGTGTGCAGCTAAGCATGCCAAGCACGCGCAGTTGAGCACACCAACTCAATGACCACTTACTTCCACCCCACCCATGGAGCTGGGCACCAGCACCCGAGTGGCTGCCCCTGTCCCCACCTCACTGTCTCCTTCCTCCCCAAGGCGACACCTATGCAGGCTTCCAACACCGTGGATCAGTGTGGTCTGTTCTTTAGCTTCACACAGAGGGAAGCACACTGTACATGCTTGGCACACAGCTTCTTTTGTGCACATTATGTCATGAAATTCATCCGAGTTGCTGTGGTTAACTGTCACCCATTCTTTCCCACTGCAGTGCAATATTCTCTGCATGACTGCGGCATGATTTGTTTACACATCGCACTGCTGACTCGGTGGTTTCCTGTTCTGGTCACTCTGGTTGGCGCAGACTCAATACTGAAGGTGGAACTATCTATCCAGGTAACTTACATAGTTCTCAGGACACGTTTCACCGTGACGGTGGACATTCGCAGCGTCTGTCCCTCTGTATAAACACCAACAGCGGTAGATATGGTAGACTAGGTTTCTCACCCTCTCAAAACGCCAGGCTCCACTCTGGACGAGACTAGAGGCTTTGCCAGCTGGACGCCTCTTACCTTGGCCAGGCTGTGGAGGGCACCTGTGGCTGTGGTGGCAGCCGCGGCCCAGTGGCACTCAGTTATGGCGATGCGTGCTGGAACATCCTAAAGTCCTGACCTCTTCTTCTCCAGTCCTTCCAGTGGTTTCCCAAGAACCCAATTCCCTGAATAAAATCCCTTTCTACTTAAAATGCTTGTGTAGTTTCTGCTTCTTACACAAACTCTAACTCAGACATCAACAGCAAAACGATCTCACAAGATGATATTAAATAGGCCAACTTATTAAATAAATTTTCCTTTTGTTTTTTCTCACCCAAACTTCCCTGTGCAAACACGTCCTACATTATGTGGCAAAATCTGATAACGTGCACCTACCGTTGGGATAAAAGGCTCATCGGGTGCACAGTGATAATTTTGTAATAAGGCTTGAAGTTGTAGTGAATTTAACTTAAAGCAGGTGCTGTTTATATTTGGAATGTCCTCGGGTGCGTACTTATCCATGGTAAGCAAAGTGGTTGCCTGTTTAAAAGAATAAATAACATGAAATATTATGACTTAAAAGTATTTCCTAAATATTATCCTTTACTTAATATTTGTAAAACTGTAGTAATTTGCTAATTTAATTTTGAAATGTAGGATGTTTTTAACAGACTTCCATTAACATTAACTATAAAACTGAATTAAAAGCATTGTCTAGTAAAGGTTTTTCAATGCCATCTTAAGTTTACTAAAACATATATATAACTAAATGTAATTATTTATGTTCATAAAGCATTAAAAAATTATCTTTGTAAGTGTAAACATTTACATGACCATTCGGGTTAGCAAATACTCATGTCTGAACAGTTTCATTGCAGTAAACTTTTCATAACTAGCTGATTAGTCTCGTGCCATAGTAAAACTCTTTAAAAGAGATTAAGAAATCAATAAAAAAATATACAATAAAAAAATATTGTCCTAGGTTTTGATGCTGTAGATGACTCATTTCCTTAATTGCGATATGCTAGTTCCTAGTCACTGATATCTAAAAAATTCCCTCAGACCTGGTTAAGCCATTAGGATGATACGACTCTGTATTCTTAAGAGTTGTTATCTGTTTTGAAATTGATCTTTATCTTTTAGTATGAAGTGTTCTGAAATATGCCTCACTGATCTCAACATAAAGGACCCTCCAAGGATGTTTCTATTCTACTGGTTACCACCTGTCATGAGTTGAACCGTGTCCCCCAAAACTCTTACTTTGGAGGCCTAACCTCCCAGCACCTCAGCAGTCTTTCTGGAGACAGGGTCTTTGTAGGGTAGTCAAGTTAAAATGAGGTCAGTAGGTCCAGTATGACCGCCGTCTTTATAACAAGTGGACATCTGGACACAGGCATGCATGCAAGGGACACACCAGGTGAAGACAAAGGCGGAGACTGGGACGCCGCCTCTACAGGCTAACGAATGCATGCAAGTCACCTGACGCAGGGAAAGGCCTGGAGCAGATCCTTCCCTCAGAGTCCCCGGAAGGAACCAGCCCTGCCAACACCCCGATTTCAACTTCCGCCCACCAGAACTGAGAGACAACAAATTTCTGTTAAGCTGCTCAGTCTGAGGTGCAGGTTGAGGATCCCTTACCCAAAATGCTTGAGGCCAGAAGTGCTTCAAAATTTTGGATTTTTTTAAATTTTGGAATATTTTCATACATATAATGAGATCTCTTGGGGTTGGGACCCAAGTCTAAATACCAAATTCATTTATGTTTCACACATATCTTATCCACACAGCCCGAAGGTAATTTTATACAATATTTTTAACAATTTTGTGCATGAAACTCAAGTTAGGGCACATCAAACCATCAAAAAGCAAATCACATGGACAATCTGTGGCTGTGTGGCATCACCATCATTCCTCACTCGGAATGTACACGCTACTCACAAGCATGTGTTCAGGGCAACCTGTGGCATCACACTTGGAGCACTGTGGATTTTGGCCTTTCAGATGAGGGATGCTCACTGTGCACTTTGCTATAGCAGCCTGGGTACTAATACATTACTACTGCATTATTTGTACATATGGAAAGCTCCGGAAGGAGGGTACTGAGGTTTTGTTGCATCCAAGCTCTTGCCCATCACAATATCGGCTCTGTTCACCATAAAGTGCACTGGCTGTGGGAGTCGGAGCCAACAGCACACACCTGCACGATCCTGCTCAGGTGGCAATCGGCGGCCAGCTCCAGGCCCTGCTTCTCTGCCCAGGCTTCAATGTGTCCCAGCTGCTGGCGGATGATCGCTCCCCAGTAATGGGAACACAGCCCCGAATCGGGGTCAGTCACCAGCCTGTTGAACAGCCACATGTTGACGAAGTGGAACAGCTGCGAGAAGAGCTGGATGGTCAGGGCAGCGTTGACTCTGCAGCGTCGCAGCAAGGACATGGCCCCCGTGAGCGTGTGCAGCACGTCATCTGCCCGAGACACGGGGCGAGAAGGCAAGGGGACCGACATGTCACCCATGGAGAACTCTTGGGATTCACAGCAAACTCAGATAATAGTAGTTAGGTAGTAACTGCTATTTAATCATGTTAAAAACACCAAACTTACTCAAATAGGAATCAGTGACACGGTCTGAAACTCAATAGTTATTAACTAACTACACTTAACATTGTAAGTTCATCCTAACAGACTTTCAAAAACAGTATGACCAGCACGACACACCAAAGAACTATTTATAAATAAAACAGATAGTTAAAATTTATTATTCTAAAGACTGACAAACAAAATAGATCATCTCATTTATTTTTAAATTAACTCCCCTTACATGTACTAAACATTAAAATGAAGTTAAATGTGAAAGAAGAGCAGGAGAGAGGGAGGGAGGGAATCAAAGAACATCCTAACCTATTTTTGGTCTTTGCAGACTGTTCTCTTCAGGGTCATCTAGAAAGGCTGGCATGTAATTATTAAGTTCTGATTGAAGACAGTGAACCAAGTATCTGAAAATACATAAGCAATTTTAATACTCTCAGCATGACACACTGCCACTGTAAGACTTGTTATGAAAATCTGGACTCTTTCGAAATATTTTCTATCAAAAAATTGAGTTTTACTCTTAGAATTTTGAAACACAGCTCACTGAATCCAGTATTAAGTCAACACATTTTATATACACTTATTTATGCTTCTTGATACGCATCTTCAATTAAGGTAAATAAAAAAACCTTTAAAATTAGTTTTGAAAATTGAACAAGAAAACATACGACTTAATTCTTTAAGCAATAGCATCATCTTCAAAAATGCATTCCTTACTTAAATGCCATTTGAACCAAGTGTGCTAAAACATCTTGGGCATCCAATGTGATTCGACTAAGGTCTCGGTCCTGCTTAATGAAGTTGAGGAGCTCAGATGCATTTGCCATCCAGAAGGCAAGTGCTCCTGCGATATTCTTCTGTTTCTGTGGATAGAACATATTTCCATAAACAACACAGGAAAAACAAAAATAATAAAAATAAAAAGGAATGCTCTTGAAAAGCTGCTGAAGATAGACCAGTACCTTCCCATTTTCACCAAGGTATTTACCACAGATACCAGATATTTGCAAAGGAATTTAGGTGCATACATAGCAGTGGGAAGCAAACATTATAAAAACCACTGCAACTACTTATTAGAATTCATGTTCATAGACATGTAGATTTAATTAACTACAATTTATAGAATAGTGGAGAAATGGAGATGTCAAACAACATAATGCCAAATTATAGATTATGCATTATCTGGTAATCTGTGAAGTATACACACATGTATCCATGGTTACCCACAGCCACCCTGATACTTGTAGTCACCGGCTTGGACACCATGCAACTCAGTATCAAGTACTGATCTATCGCATCCTCTCCCGACCACATGTGCAGGCCAGGCAACCTCAGATGAGATCCAAAGAATAGGAACCAAGGATAAATAATAAAGAGAAGAAACAGAACTCTTGTCATTTCATATCCACACTGAAGTGCAGTAAGCAGAAATTATGAAATGCTGATAAAGGCTGCGCAGTCAAAGGGTTTTAGTACTGCATGTCTCGGGTGCTGAATGAGTGTTACGCGCTGTCCAGCCCAGCTGCTGTGGTGCTATGTCTGACATGGGAGCAGCATGAGAGGACTCGGCTAAGCAACACAGCTAGGATCAGCTCCCAGCAAAATGTCCTACCTGGTCAACCTGGTCTACTTCCTGGAGAAAAACAGACGAGGGAAATCAAGCAGAACGAGAGAAAGAAACTGTGAACAATCATGATAGCTTAAAAAAATCAAAACACTAACATGAAGGTACGACATGAAGGTACGACATTTAGCTATGTTATTCCCAAATTACATTTTCATTCATGGTTCTGAAGCAGTTTTGGAAGTATTCGATTTAAAGGAATGATTTTATGATCTTAAACACTGGCACAATAAATGAATTTTCATAGAATTTATCTATAAAGATGATGTTTCAATAAACATATGAGGAGACATTTATCTCTTTAAAAGATTTACAAAGGAAGGACTTCTAAACATCTTTTAATGAAATTGTGTGTTTACTATTTACAGGTACATAAATGAGAGTCCATTCCCCTGGTTTAATAAGAATGAAAGAAACAGGACAAGCCAATATAAACAATAAAAATAAAAGTTGAAAAAGTTGAGAATTTAAAAATGTATAAAGAACTTATACCGATACTAAAATGAATAGATTCTTTGTTTTTTGAAAATAGAATTTAAATTATTCATTACTATTATAGTTCTTTTCCACTACTTTAAGATTCCTCCAATTGGTTACTAAACCTAAAGTTTAAAAGACTTGTTTTGGTAACAACAGTGATTTCAGTGACTAGTTCACATCAGAAAGGAAAAGTCTACCAAAGGCAGTTTGATAACAGGTGTTTCACAGTTTGAAATAGATTTTCTAAGTCCAGACGTAATGGAAGACAGACAATGGCTCTGAATGACAACTGAACAGGAAATCCACGCTTGTTTATAAAATAATGACGTGAGAGTGACACAATGGTATCCAAATAAAATGACTTCCCTTTTTATCTATTTCCTACCTTGGGTAAGAGAATCACAACCCCAGCAAACTTGTGTTATGCTAATCACTCAAACATGAAAGAAATGTTTCTTGAAAAATTTTGGCCTTTTAAAACAATTCTGAGGGAAGAAATAAAAGATTATCTCAGCTTCCCTCAAATGATCCTGCCAGGAAAAAAACAACCAAACCATTGAACTAGAGTTGTATTAAGGTGAGAAACAGCACTGACAGGTGATTTACAAAAACTTTTTAAGAATCTATAAATTTATTTTTAAGGATTTTAAATATTAAATCTTCAAATTATCTGTGAACATGAAAAACAGCTATGTCAATCTTATCCACTGCAGACTGAGAGTACCTAGAGGAACCAAACCATTCTACCAACAGAATGCCCTTATTTCCTGAAATTTTCAAAATAGGTTTATGGAAGAATTTCATCTCAAGTGAAAAATAAGTCATCATGTCCACTATACCTACATATGTGCTCTCAAAAAAGCCCAGACAAGTACTACTTACATCATAGTAGGCTCATTATAAAGGAGCAAGTGCCTTTTTATACCCATAAACAAATTCTAAGAAGGTGGCTGCCAGGGACTGGGGCAGGGAGGAATGGGAGAGACTGCTTAATGGTTAAGGGGTTTTACTTTGGAGTGATGGAAATGTTCTGGAATCGGATAGAGGCGGTGGGTGCACAACACTGTGAATGCACTAAATGTCACCGAATTGTTCACTTCAATGTGGTGAACCTTACCTTACATAAATTTCATCACAATAAATTATTTTTAAAAACATTCTAAGAAAGCTCCGACAGTCTCAACACTTTCTTACAACTACTATTACAAATTTAAGGATCTTTCTCATGATCATTATGTTACCACATACAGTTCATCTTTATTTTAAAGCTTATTAAAAAAGGTTTACATTCCCCTTCAACTTTTTAAAGCTATACATTTTCTATATTATTTATGTAACTTAGAGTCAAACAAGTAACCAAATTAGAAGCATTAAAGAATTCATTGACTTGAAAGTTATAACTGTGATTGTTGGGCCGGCACGGCTTTTCAGCTGAACTTACCTGGATGACTCCTTCCATCATGCTCACCATCTTGTTGACCACGGCAATGACCTTGTGAGTGCGCTCTGTAGGACTGATATCAGGTCTGTACTGGCTGGACAATACATACCGGCATGCCATATATAATACATATGTAGGGGACAACTTAAAATGGACTGTAGAGCTATTAGTGTAATTTATAATGGCAGATAAAAATGAATCTTCAGCTGTGAAAAGATTTCGAAAAAGAAGAAAAAAGAAAAAACAAAACAAAAAAAACATGAAAAATCAAATGGAGAAAAATGGATCAAGAAATAATTCACTAACAATGGAATCTGAAATTACTCACAACTTTCCCTGAATTCAATGCTTGCAGGCAGGATCAGTTCAGGCCCAGAAGCATCCTGCGTCCTAAAGGAAGAAAGTTAACATCACTTAAAATAAGGTCACATGGCTAACCAGCACAATCTGTGTAGATTTCTACAACTATTTTTTAAATCTCTATACAGATTTTTCAAATGTAAAATAAATAATACTATCTCTTGTTTTCACATGTAACCTATCCAAATACTGAGATGAATGCTTTGGGAGTGATCTTATCACAACTCTTGACAGAAGTTCATTAGTTCCTTTAAGTATATACCTCCACCATGAGAACAGATCTGACTCGACTCTGGATTATTAATGAACACTTCATGTCTAGTACATAGATCAAGCTGTCTTGCACCTGCTATACCTGTGGCTCAGGTGACAGTGAAAAGATACTAGAGTAAGAGACACACAGAAAACTGAACCATGTTGAGCTTGAAAATGAATTTTAGTATAACTAAAACAGAAAAGTTTCCTAGGACTGAGTCATTATTTGTCTTTCTCTATTGATACTGAGTTACAGAGATGACTGATGAAAGTTTCCTTCAGCTATTCAGTATTACCGTTTTTCAACCCCCATAATAATGCATGCCTTAAAAAAAGGCATTCTATTCACTCACATTTTTTTCTTAAGGTCACATAAATGCCAGGTACTTTCTGCAATTTAGCCTGACACTATACAGAAAAGGAACTGGCAAAAATTAAAAGTAAGGAGGAACTATAATTTGGAACATTTGGAACTAGCATTGTGCTAATGTTTATGTATTTCCAGGTATTCAGGGTCAAATTAATTCAAAGGTTAGGTACATTTCTATTTCTACAAAAGAATTCTTCAAACATCAGGTCACCACCCATTGGTAGGACATAAGGGTGAGCACCGTTTTGTGAAACTCTTCTTCCAATTATGAATATATGAATTTGTATGTGTGTGCCCACCAAGGCGAGATATAAAATATGATCTTGTGTCATGCCCAAGGTTAAAAACATTTTGAAAGCCATTACTAGGCACAGGCTTTCTGAACTGTGTAAGATAAATAATTACAAATCCAGTTTGGATCTGCTTATCTTAACAGATTTATATTTTCTCAATGGATAATTCTCAGTTCTCTTAGACATATGATTAGGACTTCAAGCCATTTAATTATTATGCTCTAAGTTTGCTTCCAGCTATATTTTATGTATAATATCAATGAAAACAAACACATGAGCAAGTTATTAGCTTCCTAAACATTTCAATATCTTCATCATTTTAGAGATAATCAGCAAGAATTCTCAAAAACTCTGTTTGAAAAAATAAGAAAATTAAAATTGACAGCAAACGCCAAAGAACATGTGTTTTACCCTTCTGTAAAATTAACTGAAAATTAAATAACAGGGATTATAAAGACTTACACAAGGATGAAAATATCTACTGATTTAAACTGAGATCAATATTTATTCAAATAAATATTCACATTTGGTGAAATGGAAAGTCAACAGTTATCAGCATAGCTGAATCAGAAATATTCATTAGTGACTTAGAATGACAGTCATTTTTAGTGGCAACATTTCGGTCTTAGATGACTGGTAACAAACTGGCAACGAACTGCCAGAATCAAGTACTTGCAAGTGATGGTCCCACTCATTAAACATGTTAATACAAATAATAAAAGACTTTTCTTTAAAAATCATAAAGCACAACTTATGATGATTGATGATTACAGACATATAAGTTTATATAAACTGGCTAACTAAAATAATTCTTTTTCAACAGCAAATAGTTGAGGATCCATCCTCATCTTCTCCATGCACCAAAAAGATGAATAAAGAGAAAAGAATATAATGTGAGATAACACAAACTATTATAATGATAAAGCAAAAACAAAAATCTTTTTATCAAAGTATATGCTTCAAAGTTTGTTATCCAGTCTATGATTTAAGGATTTAACTCAAAAACTTAGAAAAACAAAGATGCTTTTATCAACAATATAATTTAAATACTCAATTATTTTAACATGTGTCTCTTATACTTCCATATTTATAGACATCTAAAATTGCAGATAGGAAGTTATTTTAATTTAATATCCCATAAAAGGAACCTGGATAAAATTTACCAATTGTTTATTTTAACAAATCTGGTCAAAACAAGGAGTTTAACTTGTCATTGGAAAAAGGAAAAAAATTCATTAGTAACAATTAAAAGTCATTCCCATCATTTAATAGGATTTTTTCCTTGAATAAAATTAGTGTTTAAAAAAAATTTTTTTGAGACAGAGTCTCACTCTGTCGCCCCAGGTAGAGTGCAGTGGCATCACTGTAGCTCAGTGCAACCTCAAACTCCTGGGCTCAAGCTATCCTCCTGCCTCAGCCTCCTGAGTAGCTGGATCTACAGGTGCACACCAGTATGCCGAGCTAATTTTTCTATTTTTATGGAGACGGGGTCTCACTCTTGCTCAAGCTAGTATCAAACTCCTGAGCTCAAGCAATCCTCCCACTTTGGCCTCCCAGAGTGCTGGGATTACAGGCGTGAGCCTCCGTGCCCATCCTAAAATTAGTATCTTATAATATACCAATTAAGTATTTAATTTAATGCTTATTCCAATATTATGTATGTGAAAAATAAAGAATAAGGTAAGAATGAGAAGGTTCAACTTTTTTTTATCATTCTCTTAACATCAACAAAGCAGCATATTTATAATTCAAATAAAACCTTTAATAAATCTTTGCACAGCAAACTATGTTGCAAAAATTTTAATTAAAATATGTGCTTAGGGTAAAAAATAATTTCAGATATATAATTAACAATCACATGGTTGTTTTGACACTGTATTAACATACTATCAACTATACATATTTATAATCACTGATTTTGCATATTCTAAAAGCGTTATCTTAATTGATCTTTCCCTTTCCCCATGTGGATTCACTCAATCATTCAAATATTTCTGAGCTAAGAACTATAATATATGCCTCTCAATCACCTTATAAATACAGAGATACTCCTTACAATACCAATTTACCATTCTGGACATCTTATTCTACAATATATTTATCAAAAACAAGTACAAGCACAGAAAGTAAACTATTTATTATTACATCTAATAAAATTCACATAGCCAACAAAAATCTTGCATAAGAACCAAAAGTCCAAAATGAAAATAAAGTAAAAACCTGAGACTCCCTTATGAATCTACATATTTATTTAATTGCTGCGATGAATGATATTAAATAAGATATTGCAATATAGAGTGCCCTCTGCTGGAAGTTGGGAAACTGAAGCAGGAGTACCTATCACTGTGACTGAATTGACAGGTGACCCTAGACAAGTCACCTGCTTCAGCTATCTGTCTCTGTTACTGGATCTTTGACAGAACACAGAATGGCCTCTTCAAACACCTGAACAGCACCAAAAGGGGAATGCTCCCAGTGTCACTGCGGCTAGTGAGAACATCACACAAGTCAGATAGCATCTCCCTACTTCTGTCTGAGTCCACTTAGAGCTATAGAGTAGAAGTGTTCAGCACCACATGATGCAGTTTAACCTTTTGCACTCGCTTGCTTTTTTCTCAATTCCTTTATTCTACTCGAGATTTAATTTTTTAAATACCCCAGATTTTATAAAGCGCGGCAGTAGAATAAAAAAGTGGAGTTTCTTTTCATATAAACTTATTTATTTGGATTTTTTTAAATATTTCAAATTATTGATACATTCAAAGAGTAATTTTAATCTCTATAATTTTTGCTAATCGTGTCGAGTCACACTCGGGCAAAGGGTTAAACTAGTTAGCATGTGGCACTCATCATCTGTTAGTTAACAACCATATTTAAGGCATTGACATCACTTTTCAACATTTAAAAAATGTTAGAGGTCATAAAGAAATAGAATTCCAATTTATTAAGGTGACACATATTAAAAATTACAAGAAAGGGAAATAAGAAAAGGCTGAAGTTCTCCACCCCAAAAAACTAGGTAAGAACAATGCCAGAAGAAAAAATAATTCATCCTCCATCTGTCCCAACAGTGAGACATATCATATCAGAGCATAAGATATGATAACATGGCACTCTCAATTCTTAAAATACCTACCTCAAAATCATTTTTAGCTTCATGCATTTTTAAACAGATGAAGATTTTTGCTAGAAATGGGAAAAATGACCAGATTTCTCTAAAAATTATCAAATATTAAAATCCTTTAAAAACTCCCTTTCTCTTTATGTTTTCACAAAGCAGCAAATCTGAAATAGCAACATTTTAATTCAACTTGCCTCCTATTTCAACTTGATAACACTATGCATATAAGTGAGGGATAGGATTATTAATAAAGCATTGCTTTTCGCTTCAATAACATGGAAAGGAAATACTCTTAAAATAGTATTGCTAACATTCTTAAAATGTCACCAGAACCTTTATAAGCTGAATAACCTTTATCCCAAACCCTGAACTACTTTTACTTCTTTCACAATAAAAAATGAAATTACCTGCTTTCTTGCCTGCGACAGTCTGGCTGCTGCTCTACCCTGATCATTGGCTTCACCATGCCCCGCTCGGCTGTGCTGGAGGCAGAGGACACTCTGTCGCTGTCCAGTCTGGTGGTGCTCTACGCCGAAGGAAAAGCACAGTGTGTTTAGAAGACCACGCAGACCAACCAAGCTTGACACTCAGTGCTGCAGGCAGAGATCTGGTGCAGGGCTTACAAGCAGGCAGGGCGAAAGCACAGACCAGAACATAACAGAGCAAGGCTGAGGACACCATGTCCACAAGGGTGTGCCCAAAGCACACTGGTACCAGAAGAATAATAAAAACACACAGCCACTTCCATTTTGCTGTCTGTTCATCATACTTCATTAACCAATGCCCCATAACATTGTTTAAAACGCTTATGAGTACAAAGTGCCATGACACATGTGATTACAAATATATACATTCAAGCGCAAGGATTATTTACGTAAGATACGTTTACAGAAACGGCAGCACTGTCTAAACTGTAATAGAGAATGGATAAGTAATGGATAACAAAATGTATTACCAAGGGCCAAGTAGAAATTGTGGAGGAATAATTTTCATTTTTTAACCTTTTTTTCTTCTATTTACCAAGTCTTCTACACATACATTTTTATAAGAAACTAACTTTTTTTTTTTAATAAAGACAGTTCTATTTGGCTCCAGGAGTACTTACTCAGCTATTGACAAGATACTTCCCAAGCCTCTTGCACACATGGGCACTTTTGTAAGCAGTAGAAACACAGCAGTGGCATATGGTAAGATCTCTGCTGTCAGAGCTCACATTCTACGTCAGCCAACAAACAGGACAAGTATCAAATGGCAATAAAGGCTGCACAAAGAGCTTAGATAAGGTGGTGTGATAGTGACGGGATGCTCAGGGATACCCTGATCAAAAAGGTGGCTTTACACTGGGGTCTGAGACATGAAGGGGCCAATCGTGTGAAAACCAAGGACAAGAGCAAGAAAGGCCCTCAGCTGGGAAAGCCCTGGGCACAAGCACATAACGGAAGCCCCAGAGGCCCGGACGTGAGTCAGCAACAAGCAGTGGCCAGATGAGATACGCTGGGAGGGAGGCAGGCTCAGGTCACAGGGGTTGGGCGGGCCAGAGTGAAGGCTGATATTTGGGGTGAGAAGCCACCAGGGCTTTGAACTAAAAATCTAGTTTACATTTTTAAAATGTGAGGAGAATGACAGGTCAGAAGAAAGCCACTGCCGGGGAAGCTACATGGCCCTTCCTGCTCCGCAATGGCCGCGGCCGGTGCCAGACGGGCAGAGCAATCCCTGCATGCAGAGACTGAGGGACGGAGGGGCCAGCTGGGAGCTGGGAACAGTTTCCATCAGAGCAATGCTGCGAATGGTACTATCATTTATTAAGATGGGGAAGGGCCCGAAAAAGAAGCCTGTTTGAGGAAGAAAATCTAGTCTTGTTTTAGCTGTGTTCAATTTGAAATGAGTACAGGACATGCAAGTAGATATGACATGTCAAGCCTCTGGTGAAAGGAGTCCAGAGAGGTCGGGGCCAAAGGCACACATTAGGGGACAATTAACATTAGATGGGCATGCACTGTGGCTCATGCCTGTAACCCCAGCACTTTGGGAGGTCCAGGTGGGAGGAACACTTGAGGCCAAGTTTGAGAACAGCCTGGATAACATAGTGAGACTCTGTCTCTAAAAAAATTAAAATAAAAAAATAAAAAAAATTAGCTGGGTGTAGTGACATGCCTGTAGTCTCAGCTACTCAGAAGGTTGCCAATTCAAGGATACAATGAGCTATGATCATGCTACTGCACTCCAGCCCAGGCTACAAATGAGATATTGTCTCTTAAAAAAAAATTAGACAATATTTAATCTTAGGAAGGACGCACAAACACAAGGGGCCCTAGGTCCAAAACCTTAGCCCTTCACACTTTTGAAGTCAAGCACGAGAGGAAGAGGTACCAACAAATCATTCTGAGGAGGAACAACCATTAAGTGGGGGAAGAATCAGGAAAGTGACCCCTAGAAGCCAAAAGAATGATGTGCATCAAGGAAGAGGAGGTGGCTAATTAGAAACTGCTATGACAAGTGGGACAGGACAAAATGAGCCCGGGTCTGGGAAGTGGGAGGCCATCAGTGCCCTGACAGCCACAGCTATGGAAAGGCAGGAGTCAACAGGAGCAGAGGAAAGAATGTGGAGTTGGGAAGTGGAGACAGCAAGCACAGGTGACACCAGAGATGCTCAACATGCTCTGAGGCTGACGGCAACACTCCAGGACTACAGGAGGTTGTGGTGTCATGGCTTCCAGTGAACCACATCTTGAGTGGCCCCTTCCACTTGAATCTAGACTGAGCCTGTAATTTGCTCTAGCCAATGGAAGGCAGAGGAACTAACACTGTGTCAGGCCTAACCCTTAACAAGGCCTGGAAGCTCCCTAGTGCTTGTGCGGCACCACAACCTAAGACTTATGGCTGCCCCAATGTGGGAAAGGTCCCATGGACAGACCTCAGACGACACAGAGAGGCGAAGGTCACCTGTCCCTGCATTCCAGCAACGGGCTACCAACTGACTTGCTAGCTGAATGCAGCCATCCAAGTGACCAGCGATCAACTGCCCAGGTGAGCTCAAACCAGATCACACAATGGTAAATAAAATGGCTGTTGTTTTAGCCCTCTAAGTTTTGTAGTGATTTGTTATCTAGCAACAGATAACCAAAATGAGGACAAAACAAACTGATTATGCAAGAGATAAGGGATGCCGTGGCAGTGAGGTTCCCAGAGGGTTAACTGACCTCAAGGATCCAGTATCTAAAGAGAGGGGTTAACAGAGCAGCATATTATCTTTAGGGGTAATCTGACCAAGAAGGGCTAGTTACATGCAGGAGAAGCAAGTATGCTCCACCTGGAAGACAAAGCACAATATCCTGGCCTCAGGAAAAAGGAATGGTCTGCTAACTTTCTTGTATGTATCACTGTGTTTTACATTAACACAGCAGATTAGGACAACCCACATTAGGGGCTTCTGTGACATCTGTGAAGTCTGTTTTCATAAAGTCTTACATACATGTTGCCATTATACAGTACTCCCCACACTTTCTGCAGTTTCAATTTCCAGTTGCAGTTACCTGAAGTCAACTGCCATTCAAAAATAGGGGAGTACTATACACAAAGATATTTTGAAAGTGAGAGACCACACTGATGTACACCTTTTATTACACTATATTGTTATAATTGTTCCATTTTTATTAACTGTTATTAATCTCTTACTGTACTTAATTTATAAGTTAAACTGTATTGTATGTATGTACATGTAAGAAAAAACATAGTATATATGTAGGCTTTCATACTATCCATGGATTCAAGCATCTACTGGGGGTCTTTGAACGTAACCCCCGTGGATGATGGAAACATCCGTGATGTCCTATAAAGCTAAACACAGTCCTATCAGGTAATACATAATTAGCTACCTTGCTTGTTGGCAATGCTGTCCCACTATGAATATCTCCTCCCAAATCAAAAGTCGTCTCCTGAACAATTCTGTCGGGATAAAAAGAAGAAACACAGAATTAATAACTTTCAAATGATAAGGCACAGTCTCTTATTAATAATACAGAAGGAACAGTTTAGCTAACTATCCCAATGTTCAGGATCTTTAAGAAATTGCTTTATTTTCAGCACATGAACTTACAGAAAAACAAAAAAAAAAAAAACATTAATTTTGTTAACTTTTCTTACTGGTATATACCAAATACTCTCAGGATGTTTTTTAAACCGTAAATAAAAGGGAATTGAATATAACGAAAAAAGGTGATTTCACTATGTAATCTATATAGCCTGCAGATGGCACACAAATCAAGAGTAGGAGACTGAGGAGCCCATGACCCCCACAAGGAAGGTGACAGTGACCACATAGGTGGCAAGACAGGGCTGAGCTTCCCTCCTGTTTGAAAGCCAACCTGATTTTTTCCTAAACACATGGACATCACTACTTAGGCTACAAATTAAAAATGGGAAATTGTTGATAATGTTAGTAAATCAAATCAAGAGTCATCCTAGTTTAAACAGATTCTTCAAATATTTCAACATATTAAATACCAAAATTTCTAAACACATCATTATGAAAAATTGACTCAGAATATAAACAAAGCCTCATCTTAAAGAGTCTAATAAGCTGGTGTGGCTACATTCTCGGTACAAATGAAAGAAAGACGTGTGCATCCCACTGGCCCCAGCTCATCAGAGACCCAACCCAAGAAGACAAGAGCCTAAACACCAGGAAACCAATGGAGATGGATCAGTAGTTACATTTCCTGGATTTCTGCACAAGATGACCAAAAAGAATGAAATCTCTTTTGTTACAATATCTGAAAAATATATGGTCTAATTTCAAAGCACCATGGAAACTTGAAACTTTCATTTAAGCTCAATCTATATAATGAAACAAGGAAGTAATATAGAAGTTCAAAACAATTTTCAAATTATAAAAGCAAATGCAAATTTCTCCTCTACCTCATGACTAACAAAATAAAAGCATCGTAAAACACAAAATATCATGCTTTTACTAAAGGCTAAATAACCCTCACCTGTTTGCACACAACTTTATGCAATACATCGCCAAGTTTTGTGAAACTGAACAGTCATCACCTATCAGCCAGATATTCACAGAAACAGAAATGCTGCGCAGGTTCCCACCAGTCTGAATGGGAGATTCAGCTCAGCTCTCTGACAGTGGGAGTAAGAACAATGACAGTCCACCTCCTCTGCCACCTACCAAAGCTACGCATAAGCACTACTCACTCTCCTCTTCCTCTTATGGGCAGTACCGAGCATAATCAAAGCCTTCTTGATTCCATTTATAGTTATCACCCTAAAATAACAAATTTATAATAACATGCATAACACTTCAATTTTTCCCCCCAAAGCTACCTCTCTCAAGCTTTAACATGGCCCATTCATACTATATCTGGGTATGTTGACAAGTCCAAAGTGACTTTATACATGACTTCAATATTTTTGAATTATCATCTTTGACTATAACAATTATTTCTCACTCATCTCAGTACTCTAGCACAGTAACAACATATGACATGGTGCCCAATAAGTAAATCAATGAGTCAATATATCCTCAGAAGACCCTAGAATTCCCAGCTGATTATCAATACCAAACTTTGCTGCTTGCTTGTAACCATCAGTAAGGATTTAAAGACAAGCTCTGAAATCTGCACTTGAGTGAGAGTCCATGGGTTAGTCCATGGGTTATTAAAACTTTCTAGTTACCCAGAAAGTTTTGTAATAGTTTGACATTAGAGCAAAATTAATGTTCATAAAAAAACAAGAGTCCTTTCGAATTTATGGATGGTATATTTAACCACTAAACAGTTTTCATCATTTTTACCAGAAAAATATATAAAAAAATTTCAGAGCACATTTTCCTCACTGAAACCTAAGTCATATTCTTAAACGATCTCTGCTTCTGCCCAGAGATGATAAGAAGATAAGTGCAGGCCTCTGAAGCAGGAAACATATGGCAAAAATATAGGAGATTGTCTCACATAGGAAAACAGATTACCAAGAGAAACTGAAGAGCCAACTAGGTGTGAGACAGAGGCTGCTCCTAGAATTGTGTGTATACACAGCAGCAGACATACGTAGTAACACTACTACTAAGGCTGAGCATGGTGGCTCATACCAGTAATCCTAGTACTCTGGGAGGCTGAGGCAGGAGGATCACTTGAGGTCCAGGAGTTTGGGACCAGCCTCAGCAAGAGCAAGACCCCATCTCTACTAAAAAAAAAAGGGGGGGAGGGGGGCAGGGGAATAGAATAAATTAGTTGGGAAACTAAAAGTAGAAACGAAAAAAATTAGCCGAGTGTGGTGGTGCATGCCTCTAGTCCCAGCTACTGGGGAGGCTGAAGCAGGAGGATCACGTGAGCTCAGGAGCTGGAGGTTGCTATGAGCTAGGCTGATGCCACAGCACTCTAGCCTGAGAAACAAAGTGAGATTCTGTCTAAAGGGAAAAAAAAACCTACTACTAAGTAATAAACATCACAATAAATATACCAAAACTCAAAAATCAAGCATACTCATAGACAAGAGGCAGTAACTGTAGGTACTGTTGAAAGACAATATGCAACACAATAGAAGAACACTTTCATACAATAATCTCTTTGGCCAAACTACAGTGAGCCTTAAAATAAATGGGAAGTAAAGGTACACCCTCTCAAGATGTCTCATGCTGAAGGGAAGGAAGAGAGCTAAAGAAAATCTGGTGACTGAAATGGAACACATTTGAGCAGGGGAATGTGACTCTCTAAAGAAAAGAGTCTATGTAAAGCTAATGACAAGAGACAGGAACTGGGAAAAAGGCTGATAAATGAAAAATATCACCTTAAGAACAGAATATTTAAAAAGCTAGAATGGTGAGTTTAGAAACACGTTCAATTTAAAGACAAAAGAGTTAGAAAGAAATGGACTGTCTTGGGAAGCAGACAGGAAAGGCACTTGCTGGTTTTCTTTGGGAGGTAAGAAGTAGGATCATTTGCTGACACTTGGAGCTCAAGGTGAGGTGAGAGGCAGGGAACAGTTTTTAAACAGCCCATGAACTTTACAAATATCCCATTTGTCTGAACGAATATACGTGATAATCTACAAGGTGATTATCTTGGAGAAAAACACTAGTTCTAAGCAGTCACACCTGGCCCACAGCATAAGCTCCGGGCGGCTAGCCAAAGGTATGCCCGGGAACAAAGCAATGAGAGCAGCAACACACTGCAGACCACCAGCACGCTGGCTGCCATGTGAGCTCTTCAGGCAGAAAGCTAACGTTGCAGTGGACTTTTGGTTGCTGTAAACAGCATAAGGGAAGAGCTATTGCAGCTGACTTCCCAAGACCAATACCCTGTCAACTAAAAAATAAATAATAAAGTAGCAAAACAGTATATTATCGCTTTAAAACTATTATCACCAAAAGAGAAGTCACACTCCTTCCCCACAAAGTTTCACTAGATGGTCATTAAGAAAGGATTCTTTCCCCCTGTAATAGGCCGTGATGCAAGTCCTCAGAAAAACACTGGGTGGCGCTAAGACATTCCAAATTCCTTAAGAGATCTTAACGTGTTTCTGTAACAGCCACAAGGAAAAAACCTCAATAAAAAAATCTAAAAATCTTAGTTACGTAAGATAATTACATAGAACTCTATGATGTTTCACAAAGGAACAGATATTATTTTAGTATATTGGCTAAAAAACAAAGTTTAAATATAAATAATTTAAAATCAATCAGAACTTCCAATTTCAAGATGAAATTAAGAACTTCCTGTCTTCTTTCCATTAACACCAACCAAAATTAACAAGAACCAGAATCACAAATCCCACCATGATTTTTTAAAAAATGAAACAAAATAAAAAATAAAAAGCCAAGTCATCTATGTGCAATTCAATTTACCTTACGTATAATCAAAACACTGTATCCTAAGGCTGATCTCTAATATTTACCCAGGTTTATGTCTCTGGCCCTTAACCATCAGGCCTCCATCCACAGATCTTTTTGCAAGAGCATGATCCTGGCTGGGGTCCACGAACTTAAAGACATGTGATGCCCCAAACTGCACTTTCATGCCACTCTGCAGCATGGTGGTCTCCGAGATGCGCTGGCCCTCCACGTAGGTCTCCGCGTCCACACTTCTAGGAGTCACAGTGACCACTCCATCCATGTTGGTGAGGTCACAGTGATGGGGCTGAATTCCTGGGCCAAACAACTGAGAACAGAAGGACACCCAAGAGACTCATGATGAAGTACATAGTAGTTAAAAACAGAATTTCAAAACTGAATAGCCCTTTTATGATAAATGTAATCTAATAAGCTCTGGATTTTTAGTGCTTTTTAAAGAGGATTTTCCCCAGTAGTACAAGAATAAACACTGTCAAAATAGTGTCAAAACAGACCTTTTATTATTAGCATCCAGTAACTTGATTTAAGGCATATTATAACTTTGCACTAAAAAGCATATAGTCATCTTAACAAATATTCATTCAAAAATTAATGGACAAATCTATATAGATCATTATGATCAGGCTCATGCTTGTAATCCCAGCACTTTGGGAGGTCAAAGCAGGAGGATCACTTGAGGCCAGGAGTTCGAGACCAGCCTGGGCAACAAAGTGAGACCTCATCTGTACAAAATATTTTTTAAAAAACGATTAGCCACATGTGGTGGCATATGCCTGTAGTCCCAGCTACTCTGGTGGCTGAGGTAGGAGGATCGCTTAAGCCTAGGAGCTGGAGGTTACAAAGAGCTCTGATTGCACCACCACACCCCAGCCTGGGCTTTTGAGCAAGATCCTTTCTCAAAAAACAAACAAAAATCCCCCGCCCCCATTTTTTTTTACTGTTGTGCTAAGAATGAAGGAATGGTAGAACTGAAAATGACACTAACAATGTGAAGCCATCATCTTACAATTAAGAAACAAGTACAAGGAGGATTTGCCCGAGTTCAACTTCAAAGAGGTGACAAATCCTGACCTCACTTATTCAAAGAATGTGTTAAAATTCTGTTTTAAGTAGTGGAGAACTGTGTTCAGCTAATATTTTAACTAGAATTTATGGAATGCCTGTTGCTATGTGTGTCAGACCCAGTGATGAGCACTTTTGCACAGGTTACCTCCTGTAACCATGACACAGACCTCTAAGATCGCCACCACCATCTTTCAGAGCAGGGGTCCCCAAGCTACGCTGACTTGTATAATTATTTCATTATATATTGTGATGTAATAATAACAAAGTGCACAATACATGTAATGTGCTTGAATCGTCCTGAAACCACCCCCCTGCTCCCTGTCGGCGGAAAAATTGTCCTCCATGAAAATGGTCCCTGGGGTGCCAAAAAGGTTGGAGACGGCTGTTAGAGAAAAGCAAGCAGTCTCAGAGGAACGCCAGCCTGAGTTTCTGGAGGTGTCACTTAACATAACCTCATACCCTGCTCTTTTCACACTAAAGCAGAGAAAAGTGACCCAGAGTTGACAAATGATGTATCTTTAAATGCAAAATCTGTCATTTTCACTCCTTCCCTGGTCAGCATGGGGCGGCTCTGCACTACGCGCCGTGCCTCCTGAGAGGCAGGTGTGACAGCAGGAAGCTCAGCCCTGCGCTACGACTGCCCACCTGGATAGAGGTGTCATCCAACTTTTCTGTCCCAACTTCAGTCACACTTAACTGAAGGCGGTAAAGCTTTGGCTTATCTCTGGAGTCGGAACCATCTGTGAGAAAAGAAGGAAGACAGTTCCGTTTGCAAAGTCTAATGTTCTTGTCAGATTATTTGAAACAAAAAACCAGAAAGTTATCTATCTTAGAAATTACTGTTCTCACTTCTCAGGATTTCTTTTCAAAGAATTCTCCAAACCTATAGCACAATTTAACAAACTGGATACAGAAAATTCAAATTAAGAAACACATCAACTCCTGTTTAATATAAAATATTAACACTATCATTAATTTCAATGTTCTCATTTCATGAAAAGAAATGTTCTGTAACACACTGCCCTGGGCTTGTGCTGATGATTCCGCGGTGCAACTGTAACAGCAAAATGAAGACGCAAAGGCACAGAGGCCTTCCCGAGACAGACCCTTCCCGAGGTAAGCGTCCACGCTCACGACTCCCAGCACGGCCGAGGAGGCACAGCTGAACTGCAGACAGAGGATTGACAAACACAATCTTTGTAGACCTCTGTGATCAAAATCCTTGAGGATGAAGCCTAAGAATGTGTCTTCTGAATGAGCTCCCCAAGTAATTCCCATGCCCACTGCTGACTCAGAATGACTGCTAAATGGCTTGGCTCCCTGCAGTGGTGCTAGGGTGAAGGGTAGAAAAGAAGACTGGGTTTCTGGTCATTTTGTGCCTCTATAAACTGTTGGGATTTTTAATTTCCATGAGCATGAGTTTCTGTGAGGGGGAAGGGGAAGGAGGAGGAGGAAGAAATGAAGGAGGAGGAAAGGGAGGAGGAGGAAGAGGAAACAGTCCTGTCAAGACCTCTAGTCCCATTCACAACCAGACATGTTTACTCATTTTCCTACTTACTATATCCCAGTTAATCAAGACGTCGACTAAAAGCTTATTCTGATTTCAGAGTTGTTAACATATAAGAAAATGTGCCTCAAAGAATTCATGAATTATGATACAATTTCAAAGTTCAACATTTGTACCATAGCCATGATGGTCTAGCACTGCAAATGCATTAAGGGAAGCTTCCTTCAAAGGCCGCATGAAGTCTCCTTGACCTACTTCTCGACGGCCTCGTAACATTCAGAATCGCTGGGTCAGTGGCCAGATAAAATCTCTAGTCACTGGGATTAGGAATGTAAACTTTGAGAGCTTCAGAAGTTACAGTAAAGAGGGTGTGAGCGTACATGCAGAGTTTTAGACTACTGAAATCTCTTAGTGGTGATGTGATCTGAACTCTCAGACACCCTGAATATATAACTTCTGTAAGAAGTGATATTAATTTTAGGGTACACAAAATCACATTCTAATGACAAAATTTTCTATTTCTGAAATATTTCAGAAATCTGTGACATCTAGGTGAAGGTAAAATGAGACTGAAGTATGTGAGAGACACCAACGCCTAATACACATTTAAAAACTGATTCATCATTTGTGTTGCTTCACATCATGCTGGAATATTTAGTTTTCAACTTCAACTGTTCTAATAAAGTCCTGATCAGAACAAACCCCAAAATCATCCATTCTCCTGGACATGGCAGTTTCCTTCCAGACCTACTAAGTCCAAATCCCCCAGGAACATTTACTGTTTTGTTTTAAATGCCATCAGCAATTCCAAGGAACACCCCTGGTGAAGACACGTGTCCCTGTTTTGTCCTGCCCTATCTACTTTTTCATAGTAACGCCACTAATCGCATTTGGAGATGACTTCTATTCCTCCTCTCCCTCATCTCCAAGCTCCCATGTGGCCAGGCTTTAAAAAAAATCTCTTTACCCTGGCACCGAACACCCAGCATATGGTCCACAATATGTAATCAATAAAGACTTAGTGTGTCAATAGTAAATAATTATACTAAAAATAAAGAAAACAGAGTAATACAATATAGTCACACACAGAAATTACACAAATTATAAAGAAGCAAAAGGAACAAGTAATCATGTATGACAAGAACAATCATGTCAATGCAAAGTTAAAAATATAAAAACATGAAAAATATGTCTGTTTAGGGATGAAAGAAAAATTTATCCGCATTCTTCTGAGCTGTGCATGCTTCTGAAAGGTGCCTTGTGAGACACCAGAGAGAGCTCACACGCCGTCCCACATCGACAGATCCAGAGACACACAGAGAAAGGAAGAGACTGCAGCTGCTTCCCCAGCCTCTCCTTCTTGCCACCCCTGTGACTGCGGGAACCCACCAGCAGAGGGGAGAGAAGTAACTCCCTTCCCAGTCTCCTTTCTTACCACTTCACAGCAATAAGAGAAAGCTGTAGTTCGCCTTTATAGATTCTGAGAAGCTAAATGGCGACCACAGGATTTAGTAGGAAGAATGGTGTTTGGTATGTGCTGGGGGAGGGAAGGAGAATGTAGTTGTCCACTTCCTTCTCCTCCTTGAAAGTAGGATCACCAACTCACAGGCAGCAGCAAACATACCAAACTGTTGGCTAAAGAAAAATTCCATATTCTCTCCCTTCCCTCAAAAAGCATTCTACAAACAGTTAATTTCTTCCCAAAGTGCCCGAGTATCTTTCTTCACTGTCAATGACTACATCTGGAGCACATTTAAAGGCAGAGACAAATCTAAGCCACCCCAGCATATACAATCGTGTTTCTACCAGAACATTTTCTTTAATATTCTAAATATGAAGGGAAATGGATCGATTGAGCAGAGCCTAAGGAGAACTTTTAAATAGCACTTTGTCTTTACTCCACAATTCTACACAGCCAATGCTGCGTTTGCCTTCAGTTGCTTCCCAGGGTGAACCTGGGAAAACAAAGCAGCAAAATAAGCTTCCAGTAAATGAAATGAGTTCTGAATATGGAACACTTACTAGGTATAAACAAAACAGGACATTACATTTCTTAAAATAGGTTATTTATACCAACTAAAAATCTGATGCATAAAATAGTCAGTGAACATTATTTTGCCCACGAGGTTCTGTTAGTGCTCTAGTTACAAAAGTAGTAGTAAGCATAGCATTACCTTCGTAAGTGTGATAGTTGTAGTAGGCAAAGTGATTCCCTCTCCCTGGGGTTAAGACACATGCCAGGACCCAGGTGAAGGCAGCATCAGCAGGACAGAGACCATGCAGAACACGCGGAAGAGGGAAGGAGGAGAAGAGACGCATAGGGTGAACGTCAGTGAGACACGTTTCAAAGGAAGAAAAGGTACATTTTACCCACCAGCTTTCAAAGCTGTGGACAAGACTATGCTAGTGCCCCAGTCAGTGTTTTAGAAACCAATACAGACTGTTACGGGAAACAGCAGGACAACAGGTGAGTCGCCGAGCAGCAGGACAGCAGCAGTGAGTTAATTGTATAGAGGGCCACCAACCCACTTGGCTGATTTCTTCTGCTTAAAGAACACATTCAAATCCAAAGCAAAGAACAAAATTACGTATTTATTCCCCATGCCTCTAGAAGACAAGGTGTGCACACATGCACATCTCAAAGCCTCCTGCCCACAGGTAGCAGACAGACCTTAACACTGAGGACAGATGCTTGGCCCAGTGGAAATACGGTACTTTTCCATTCACAACAAATCATTATGTATGAACATTAGTTTTTCATTAATGGAAAATACATCAATTTCATTCGGCATGCTGTGAGCAACTGATAACAATGAAAACCTAAAAAGACATCATGACCTAGTCAAAGAACATGGCTTTGGTGTAAGAAAGACTATGGCCTAGCAGTCAGGCCTGCACCAACCTCTAGCTCACCGTGAAGATAGCAGTAGCACACCTGAACTAGAGGTATGTGTGGAACAGTAAGCCCACAGTACTCAGGAGGGAAGTCTGGACTAGAGACAGTCGCTCAACACATGGTACTGTGATTATCTCCTGGTGGGTGAGTTACCTAAGTGCAGAACAATCTTACCACCTTTGTATCCCCTGCTTTGCCTGAAGTAGAAGGTAATGAATGTTGACTAAAGGTAGCAGAGTACTGTGAGGAAAGCAATGTATTAGTAAGCATTTCATATATGTTGCTGCCAGTATTTGGCGGAAAGTAGTACAGAATATCTACACAATCTATTATCTTCTCACACCTACAAAAAACTTCTATGTATTTCTAAAAGTATGAAAAAAGCAGTCAAAATAACAATTCTCGCTAGAACATAAATTCCCAAGGTTTAGTTGGTGCTCTATCCCCAAGGCACCGAACAGTATAGTACAAATAGTAAGTATTCAATAAATATTTGTCGAATGAATGAATGGTCACCCTGTCTCTGCGATCCACCAAAATAAACTTCCTATTACTCATTTTAAAACTCTTCTGTTGGCTGCTATTTGTCAATTTCTCTGAGAGTCAATCTTCAATCCTCAAAAATATTGATTTGGAGTAAATAATTGTTAGTTTCCAGCATTTAATGTAAAATTTTAAAGGGTAGACTCTACACCCAAAAAAAGATCCTAAAAAATTTTAAGTTCAAAACCAAACAGCTGCCTCGCTGCTGCGGCCATCTCCTCGGATGGCCGAGTACCAGCGGCCTCTCAGGCACTGCGGACACACAGCACCAGTGCTAGGACATGTCCCCAAACTAGGTGAGCTTCCCAGCCAGAGAACCGAGGGACAAAGCAACACCAACATACTTCTCGCAAATAGCTAATCAATTAAAAAAAGTCCTCAAACATAACTAAGTACAAAAACCACGATCCACACTGCCACCGACTGTAAATCAGAGCACTATCAAAACAACAGCACTTCCTGTATCAAGATACCCTAGCTGCACCACGATACTGCTAGACAACAAATACCATATCTAATCATTACTTAGGTATAACTTAGTTGTAAGAAACTAAACAAACCTTGTAAATAAAAATGCTAAAAAAAAAGCATAATTCATGCACCTATGCAACCATATTTTATCTATATAACTGGTTCATTTTTCTGCTAATTTTTTCTATGATTACTAATTGAGCTTTATTCAAATATGGTTTGGAAAGGGGAATACTGTGATCTTCAGAGTATTTTATAATGCAGGTCATGTAGCACTATTTTAAGAAATGACGTAATCTTAGCTGAATGATAAGTGTGCCATATATAGCACACATATACACAAACACACACACTACACAGGGATGTATATGAATATAAAGCATTTCTTTAAGAACATCAATGGATTTCTCTACCTGATGGCTAACCTGAGACATCAGCTTTAGCTTTTGAGAGTTCTAAAAACAAAATATTTAGAGGACTAACATAAACAGTCTGTTATTTTAAAATCAAATGGCCTTCTTCTCATTCAGATGGATTTCTTAGATGTACTATAAAATTTCACACATTATAAACAATAGTACGATTTTACACACATACATTCACACACACGTGTCTCTACTAAACATGCCCTAGGAGGAGGTAAATTTTAGTTTGTCATTTTTAGTAGATTATTTTACTAAAGTTATCTTGGGAAAAATTTTTTTAAAGTGAAAGGATCATTTTAAACTCTCTTAAAACTCTCTATCCAGTATTGTAATTTTGTTTCTTACTACTCATTTTTGTCCATGTGAACATTATTTTTGTGCATAAATGTTCATATTCTATAACCTTTAGTTTTTCTAAATGTCATCTTATGAGGGTTACCTTTTATTTAAAAAAATGGTCTAAAAACGTTAAGTCAGACAAAGAAAGGTCACTTAAACAAGATGCATTAAAAAGTACAAGCATTTAAAGCTAAAAAATACACATTATTGTATTTCCCAGTATGACCAGCTTTCTTACCTGGGCTTAACTCCACTAAATACGGCAGTTTTTCGGGTGGAAGGGCAGAGCCATAGCCAGCAGCATCAACTCTCTCCTTCCCCTTCAATGGCTTCCCTTCCAGATGCTTCTTTGTTTTCTTTGGGATGTAGTCTGGTGGCCGCCTCTTCAACTGAAAGACTAAAATCCCTAGAAGAGTAACAGTGGAACCATCAGCCAGACTGCAGCTGGCCTGGACAGCCAGGCACTGGCAGTCTACTACTCAAAGAGTTACCAATAAGACCATCTGCCAGGGAATCACTGAGCCAGAGCTTACCCAATTTGTACTTTTACTCAATAGAGGAAATATCAGTTTCTTGGTGTGTTCTGAAAAGGTCTAGCAAGCAATTTTCAAAGATTATTTTAAATTACCCAAAGACATCATATGCTTGAAAAATAGCACAATACCAGTCTAAGAATAAATGAATACTTATATTGGTAAACAACCTTATGATCAATAAACATATTCATATGAACATTTATTTGAACATTCACACAAACACTATATATATAATACATTTTAGTTGATCTGCTTTTTATTTAATTCTACCATATTAACCCATAATTCAAGACAATTTGACTTTCATTTTAATACAGTTTAACTTTATACCTTTTAGAAAGGGTACTAAAGAAGTGTTTTAAAGAAGCTAGAAATTTCCTTGCCTGCTAAAATTTTTCTGGGAGGGGGTATTTTAAAACTACCAACCTATATTCAACATCGACATGATTATCGGCAATAAATGTTCATGTCTTTCTTTATTGATGTAAAGGTTCTCTACCGAGCTGCAGTTAACTTGTAACAATAATCTTTAACTTCTTGATGTAATGCTAATATTCCAGCTTTTCATGAGATGTGCTATTCACCTGCAGTATTATCATTTGTTTAAGGTCGAGTGTGAGACTCAGACAAGCTGAGTTTTGCCTCCAGGAAGGAGGCAAAAAGCTGTACAGCAGACAGCCATCAAAAAATATCTGTGTACACATATCCTAAATCATCTGGTGAGTTGAACAATTGGTATATCTCACAGAAATCTGATGTAAGTAATCCTTTAACAAATAAGATCACTTTTTACCTTTGTCACTGGGCCATTCCCTGAAGATTTGTAAAGGACACTCATCATCATCAAGAATAATTTCTTTAGCACCTTTTTCATCAGAATGCTGGGCTCCAGGAGGAAGCATCACCTAAAAGAGAAAATAATTAACTGTAAATATACCTAAAAAGTAAATTAGCAAGTATTTGAATTAAAAAGACACTGTAAAATTAAACTGTTTGAGCACTATAAATTCTCACATATCACCAAAATAATCATCAATGAAAGTGAAGGAAAATAATTTATAATAAAAAGCTAAGCCAGCTGATTTGGTAGTTTATTAATATTAACCTGGCCCCTACAAAAAACTAGTGCGAGTGTATTGTTTTTTTTAAATAACTTTTTATATGGAAAGACTATATGTAAAGTAACCTCTTGAGGAAACAAAACTTCATTATTGCAAATTTCAATTTCTCTAATCTCTAACTCACCTTTTCACATTAAAACAATGGTTTTTAGGCCGGGCGCAGTGGCTCATGCCTGTAATCCTAGCTCTCTGGGAGGCCGAGGCGGGCGGATTGCTCGAGGTCAGGAGTTCAAAACCAGCCTGAGCAAGAGCAAGACCCCGTCTCTACTATAAATAGAAAGAAATTAATTGGCCAACTGATATATATATATAAAATTAGCTGGGCATGGTGGCACATGCCTGTTGTCCCAGCTACTCGGGAGGCTGAGGCAGAAGGATCGCTTGAGCCCAGGAGTTTGAGGTTGCTGTGAGCTAGGCTGACACCACGGCACTCACTCTAACCTGGACAACAAAGCGAGACTCTGTCTCAAAAAAAAAAAAAAAAAAAACCAATGGTTTTTATAGAGTAGGATCATAGACAATGATATCCTCTAGAATAACCACCACACAACAAACTAGAACAGTTTTTATAAAGTAGGTCCATATAATATGAGATCTAGGGTAACCACCACACAACAAACCAGAATAGTTCTTTTTTTCTTGTAAATAACCTGTCTTTATGTGTAAATTTTAAATAGGCCATTTAGGTAGATTACAGGATTAGTCTCTCATTCAACACATTTTTTGAAACAACTATTTTAAGAAACTATGCTCGCTGTACTCTTAAAAATTCATAATGCTGTATTACATTTTATTGTATGTTTTTACTGCAGCCAGTTTTGTTAAACATCTAAGAAAGCTCCAAAACTACTGCATTGGAGAAGACACTAGTAGATGACCGTTGTCCAACAGTCTTCTATATTCTGCTTGCAATTAGTCTACACTCCAAAGGGAAGAGTAGTGAGGAGGTGCGTCACCTCTCTACCCTTCAGGGCTGGGAACCTCAGTTTTAAGGTTTTTCTAGGGTCCCCTTGGTCAAGAGGGGATCCATTTAGTGAGTGGGGGGCTTAGGATTTTATTTTTAGTTTATAAGACAAATGTGGATGACACCCCATAATTTGCTTAAGTAATCATTCTGAAATATATAATAGTGTAATTTCATACTTTTCCTTGTTCCCAGAGCTATCCGAAAGAAAATTTTTAATTTAAAGTATGAGATAGTCTAAAGTGTTTTTGTTTTCTCTTTCTGGCTATTTTGTGTCAATATGGGTAATAAGGCATGTAAAATGTCTATTTTTTAAAGAAATACATGACGTTAGTTTTAACTAATGAAAAATTAAATTTTTAATATTTCCATGGACATTTGATAGGGATATGTATCCATAAACATGAACATTTAAAAAAACAGTAATACTGCATTTTCAATTTTCAATAGCTTCATTAATACCATTAATAAATTTTAATGTGAAACATATGAGTATTAAAAAAAAAAAAAAAGCCAAATCACAGAGAACTACTCAGAGTCCTTGGAGAGGCCACTCCCCAGGACCCCTTGCCCCGCCTTTCCCGTCTAGTGCCACCCACTCACTCCCAGCCTCTCCAGGGAGCACTCAGCGACCACCGTTCATCTAAAGGCTCCCTGTTTGTATTTCTAGTTCATGGCCTTTGCATCTCCCGTTATTATCAGTTTTTTAAAGGCAGTTCTTATTATACTACCATAGCATCTAAAAACTAGGAGGAACTTAAATATTTATTGAATAATTATATGAATAGATTTAAAAATGAATAAAGAATATGAAATAGCTACAATTTATGAGATGGCAAGCCAAAAAAATAAAGAATTTCTAATTCAAAGTAAAAACAATAATCAACTCTCAGTTTGTGCTGCCCAAGCTTGCAAAAACTATTAGGGCAACGACGGAACAGAAAACCAAAACTAGAAAAGAACCTCTAAAGAAATCATCAAATGTCCTCAAAAGGGACTGCCAATAAAAGTCAAAGCTTTTACAACTTCAAACCCTGATTTGGATGTTCCTTCACTTTCTCAATTTCATCAGTAAAATATCAAAGAGAAATCACCGAAAGGATTAAAATGTTATAAAAGTTTATTATTACATACCACCTCAATGCAATTTTATGGAACTGATTATTATTAAATAGACTTATATCCACTTATCAACAAAAATATTCCTTTGGCAAATAACTTAAGCAACACCAGGTATCGGGTGCAACAAAGGCGTCTTAGAGTTCACAACCCTCCGGGGACACAGCTGAAAGAGGGTTAGGCTTCTGTTCTCATAATATAGACTCTACTTACACTGCCATTTTTCTAACACTATTTTATCTTAGAAAACTTTTTACAGGAGTTAGTAACCAATTTTAAGTCTAAAGCACACCTAACATAAAATCCATCATATCCATGGACTCAACTATTCTATAAGTAAGTTGCTTCCCTCTATATAATAATGGTTGCTATGCATTCCTTCTGAAAAGTAATTAGCTCATAAGGCCCAGCATCACAGTAGGGCTTTCTTTCCTCTAACTGGCCTTTAGCTGTGAGGAGGAAAACGCAGCAGCATGGCCTTTGTCTCAAGCATTGTTCCTTCAGAGAGAACACATGACTATCTAACCTTCTATCCTTGCCCTGTCAATGAACTTCAGCTCATGACAGTTTCTTTTATCTACAAACCTTATTATTTAGAAGTAGAAATTTTGTTTCATATCAAGGAGGACCTTTCTTCCTTTAAATTTGTTAGTACTATTTCTTCCTCCTGCCTACTAACAAAGGCCAACTAAAAAGGTGCATCAAATTTGGTGAAATACTCATATACCCATGCTCATCGTTCTGCTCCCCTCCCCATGATGAAATGAGCTTTGCTATATTTCTTCTGATTCTGAATAACACAAACTCAGCAAAAAAATTCAAATACAAAAAAAGCATAAAGAAAAAAACTACTGTGAGATAACTGTATCTTTGTGATCATGCTTTCAATAACTATCTTTATGCATTTATTTTATAAGGGGCTTCACATCTTGATCACACAACACATGTTAAGTCTTCTGGTGCCACCACCTCCCCTCACGTAGGCAGTTTATAAGCTGGTGTGTATCTTTCCCATGCATTTACCTTTCTCTGTGCTTACAGTGTACATAACCACAGCATTTTGTAGTCTTGTTTTACTTTATGAGATTGCTTTTGCAAAAACAGGGTATTTTTTTTAAATGTACAAGCATACTCCATTTTATTACACTTTGCTTTATTGCATTTCACAGACATTGGATGAGACTCTTCACTGAGGCTGGTGTTGTGAGGACTGCTCTACCAAGGGTCTCCCCACGGAGGCAGCTGCAGGAGCTGGCTAAGGTTGTCATGGGTTCCCAGGTTGTGGGCATTTGCTCATAGCAGGTCACAGTACGCTGGCGGCTTGAGGCTTGGGGGCCCCAGTGAGGCATTGTACTTTGGAGCAGCTGTTCCAGCCCTGCTCTGGTGGTTGAGGCTCTGGGGTGGGGTCTTGGGGTCCAGGTGCAGCACTGGAGTCCTGGGGATGGTGTTTTGGGCCTGCTGGGAGTTATGGAGGGACAGGGGCAAAGCCTCAGGCTCTGGCCTGAGAGCCTCAGAGCTGGGACTGGGGAGTGACTGGGGAGGAGGCACTAGCAGAACCTCTGAGCAGGGCCTTTGAGCCAAAAGCAGGGCTGTGCAGACGGCGTGCCATCCAACCTAGAGGGCGGGGTCAGGGCTAAGCAGGCAGGGCTGGAGGGTGGAGTCGGGGCAAGCAAGCAGCAGGCTGGCACTGGGGTCACGTGAATGCCAAGTCAGGTGGGCTGAGGTTGGCCGCAGTAGCCCAGGGACCGCAGGGCTCTCCATGCTCCTCTCAGGGCCTGCCTAAGTGGCCTCCCAAAGCCTTTCAGGTCAGAGCCCAGTGCACCCCAGCGTGAGAGCCTCGGAGCGGGCACTGGGGTGGAGCTGGAGGCAAGGCCTCTGAGCCCAAGGCAGGGCTGTGCAGATGACGGGTGGGTGGATCCAACCTGGAGGACGGGGTCAGGGCCAAGCAGGCAGGAGGCAGCCGTGGCCCGGAGGGCAGATTTAAAGCCATGTAAGCAGCAGGCTTCAATCTCTGAGAGTTCTTTCTCTGCCTGTTCCTCTTTATAGCATTCTGATTTTACTTCATAAATGCAGTATCTTCCTTATTTTTCTGTATCTCTTAATTTATTGAACACTCCCATCTGCTCTCTCCAGTTTCTCCCTTTTATCTCCAGGTGTTTTTTTTTAATCGTGTGTGTCGGTATGTCTCCATTTTAACGGTGTTTTTCAAATGTCTGTTGAACCTTGGCTGTCCGGTCGTATTTGACAGCAAGTCCCCAGAAAGCTGAATGTAAAGTCTATAAAATACAGGCAGGGAACACTGTTGATAGTTCTCAGAATGAGGTTACTAGACCAGAACTTCCAAAGGTCCGTTCGCATATAGATCTTTCTTTTTTTGAAAGCAAGTGCCTCCCGGGAGGAACCTATACATTTTCTGGCCACCAGTATTCTAGGTACAGCCTTTCTCTTCATCCTCCTGTTTTCAATAAAGACCCCTGTTACCCTCTGCTATGCCTGTTACCTTCAAATCCAAGGCCTCCTAGTTCAATACCCATCCAGCCCCATCAGTTTTACTCTAGGCTTCAGAGGGGCAGATGACACAGCAGCTAGGACAGGGAAGGGGATTTGGTGGCGTCTACTACTCCTTGCAAACACTCTCAATCCACTGACCTGCTTGTCCTGATGCTCTCCTGCAGGCTTTCTCTAGTCTAGTGAGAGACCACTCATTTACATATGTAAAAGCTCACTGACAACTCTGATCTCTTATCATCTCATCCCAGTCTCTTAGTTCTTGTGCATGTAAATAATTTTTTATTCTTTTATTGCCATTTTTTTTTTTGAGACAGAGTCTCGCTTTGTTGCCCAGACTAGAGTGAGTGCCATGGCGTCAGCCTAGCTCACAGCAACCTCCAACTCCTGGCTCAAGCGATCCTTCTGCCTCAGCCTCCCGAGTAGCTGGGACTACAGGCATGCGCCACCATGCCCGGCTAATTTTTTCTCTATATATTAGTTGGCCAATTAATTTCTTTCTATTTATAGTAGAGACGGGGTCTCGCTCTTGCTCAGGCTGGTTTCGAACTCCTGACCTCGAGCAATCCACCCGCCTCGGCCTCCCAGAGAGCTAGGATTACAGGCGTGAGCCACCACACCCGGCCTTATTGCCATTTTAATGTAAGAAAAACATCTGTTTTTACATCTACTTTCAGCTAAAATTTGGACTACATTCCAGATCTATTAGTGTTTCCAACTCAATCTAACTTCCTAGCTTCTCAGCAAAAACATAAAATCATAAAACTCAAGCAAGCTCTTTTATTTAATTCCATCTGTAGCTAACAAACAACCTCTATGCTGGAAACTACACTGAGCACTATAAAACATTACTGAGAGAACTTAAAGAAATCAATGAGTGAAGAGCTACACTCTGCTCACAAACTGGAAGACTGACTACTGTTAGGATGAGTAGTTGGTAAGTTTATCTACAGATGCAAGGCAAAAGAAATCACAATCCCAAAAAGTTTTGTGTGAAAATGATAATCTGATTCTAAAATGTGTACAGAAATGCAAATAACCTAAGAATTAAACAAAGCAATTTTTAAAAACAAGAACAAAATTGACATTTACTTTATATGATTTTAAATATAAAGTAAATCTACAGTATAAAACTTATTATAAATAAGATTTATAACATTTAACTCTTTGCACTCAGATGTCGAGTGTGACTTGTCACGGTTAACAAAAATTATAGAGATTAAAATTACTCTTTGAATGTATCAATAATTTGAAATATAAAAAAAAACAAATAAATAAGTTTGTATGAAAAGAAATGCCAGTGTTTTATTCTACTGCCACGCTTTGTAAAATCTGAGGCATTTAAAAAATTAAATCCCGAGTAGAATAAAGGAATCGAGAAAAAAGCAAGCGAGTGCAAAGGGTTAAATGTATTCTAAAACTACAGTAATTAGGACAACTCAGTATTTGTCAAAAAGACACACAGACCAATGGAACAGAACAGAGTCCAGAAATGGAACCACACATATGTGGACAATTGATTTGGGGGTGATTTTTATTTTCTTCAATCTGCCTTTTTATACTTTTCTTATTTTATAATAGAAATAAATATTACTTTTGTAATGGAAGGGAGACTCTATGGGGGGTTTTTTGCTTTTTGTTTTAAACATGTATTTAACACATGGTTTTAATTTATCAGATTCTAAATGATACAATGGGGAGAAAATCAGCCTGGGTTTAATTTGATTTGAAGAGTATTTTCCATTTAAATGTAAGGTCCTAAAGACTATACTTTCAGGGACACTTGTATAGTGTGTTACTAAATGTAAGGTCCTAGCATGTGTGACACTGGTAAGAAATCCTGATTTGATCAAGTTACTTACCCTAGCAATGCAGTAATCCTTAGGGTTTTCTTTTTCCAGACCGTATTTCTCTAAAGCCTCAGCCACAGCGAAGTCTGCGGGATCTGTAGTAGATAGCAGGATTGTCTTGTAGGGAATATTTGGTTTTAAACTATCTGCATAAATTCTCAGCGTTCCACCTGAAAAAACATTTTGGCATCTTTGAGCATAACTTTATCATATGCCAATAACAGAGATAACTAACATCTACAATCACTTAAGAAAAGGGCACCTCAGGTCTCTTTGGAATGAGTGCAAAGACAAAACGTGCATGTTTTTGAAATGAAAAGATAGAGATCTTTTTCACTTCCTGTGAGATGGCACACATCAGCAGTGACTGACTGATCTAGTGACACTTTGAACTCCTGAGCAATCCAGCGTGACAAAGGCTGTTTCTGCCCTCTCTTTAGGCCAGGGAGTTACTGCGACGACGCTCTGATTTCTACTGCAGTGTGATGGAGAAAGGACGGCGTTCCAGTTTCTTTACGGCGCTGCTTTCGTCGCCTGCTTTCTCATTCCCTTACATCCTCCTAGACCTATTTCCCTCATTTTTCCTAAATCCTGATCATCAATCTGAGAAACCCAGATAAAGTTAAATATTAACCTCACTAAATAAATTCATTTTTAAAAAGTGAACGAGGATTCAGGAAATCTCAGGTGCTTGAGGCCAAAGATTGTTCATGGATTGGCCATCACAGCACGGCTCTATTTTTGCTTCCGGGAACTACAAACTACAATGTCATTTATAGCTGTGAATTCAACTGGAAAAAAATTTGACTAAAGCAGAGCAACTTTGATATTTTTCTTTTTTGCTTGTTTCCTTTTAATGGAAATCTACATGTTATATTATTCTCACCCGGGGTGTCACACTGGGTGTCATAACCTGCTTTTTCCTTATGGTCCAATATTATTAAGCGCTGGAATCTCAAATTTAGATGAAAGGATGCCGAGGGAAGAAATTAAGATTAGCTCCATGCCCCTCCTTCTATAGTGAGGGAAGGATTCTAAGTTCTTTAACCCTCCATTTTCTCACCTATAACTTAAAAGAGCTAGATTAGAAGATCTCTATGGATTCTTGAAGCAAGTTCTAAATGTCCATGACTCCTTCACTCTTCTTAGTTCTAATGCAGTTATTCTGGCTACTGAAAAGTTGTCATATTTTCTTTTTCAACAAATCTGGCACAAATTGCATTTTGATAACTTGGCTAATGGTAAAATAATGGCTGTTTTTTAAAAAAAATCAACTCGTCCACATTACTATTAGAATGTGGACCTGCTGAGCCAGGCTCTCAGGACATCCTGAGCATGTGCAAACTCACACTGTTCTGATGCTGAGGACACAGCAATGAACAAGTCAGTGTTCTCACCTTCACGTGACTTATATTCCTTAGTTAGGAGGCAGAATGTAGGGGGAGAAGACTAACAAGAAAACAAATAATTTTAAAATAGTGAAACATATTGTGAAAAATATGAGTATGGTTGTAAGGAAGAAAGCTTGGGTGACTGGCCCAGACCTCTCTGAGAAATCAGCATCAGAACTGAGACCTGAGGGACAGGACAGAAGCAGCTACGTGACAATCCAGAGGAAGGGCTTTGTCAGCAGGGGACAAGCAAGCGCTTAAGGCCAGAGCTGGAATAAGGCTGGCCTGGTCCACAGGACAGTATAGACAGAGTGGGGGGAAAAGAGGGAGATGAAGTCAGGGACTGGCTGGGACCAGATCTCTCAAGACTTCCCCAGCAATGATCGAGAGTTTGGATTTGATTCTAGATAAAGTGTGGGAGCCACAGAAGTTGTGTGTGCATTGAGTGTGTGAGACACAGAGAACGAAAGAGAGAGTGTGTGTGTGAATGTGTACACATGTGTGAGTGAGTGTGGGGGGGGCAGGTGGGCAAAATGCCACTCACGTTCTACAAAGAGGACCTAGGTGAAGGTGGGGACAGCAGCAACAGAAGAGAGGCCAGTCTAAAGTATGTATTCCACTATAACAAGATGCATCCCCTCCTTATATCATTATACTCTACTTCCAAACAGATTTGGAGTAATTTACAAGAAAAACAAGCACAACAGGATAAGTAAACAACTTTGTAAACTGAGGTAAAACACAGTAGACAACCAAGGAGCAAAACAGAGCTTCCATTCTGAAAGCTGAAAAGATGAACTTGTATTCTCACTTAGATCTACACCAAAAAAAACGCAAATAGTCAGACAACTAATTTTTCTAACACATAATTTGCATCTGCTAAACGCCTAGACAAGTATTCTGTGATCCCAAAGTTACAGACCACAGAGCATAAAAGATTATTTGGTTGGTCTGAAAAAATGCAAAGACAGTGTTTATTAGGAAATCACTTAAAAGGAACTACTTTTGAGTGGCACTTCCCAAGGATGCGTCAATAGGACGTAGCTATAAAATTCCTATTTATGTGGCCAAATGAATTTAGCTATTGGATGAAATTACTTTTATTATCCATTTGAATGTCCCAGAACATCTGTCTAACACTACGTTTAGTTTCAATATAGGTGAGTGTAAAGCCATTCTGACACACAAAACTAGGACTAAATGGATACAGTCTAATTTTAAAGGTTTTTAGTTTATAAGCATAAAACCATGGTACTGTCATGGGACAGGTACACACATGTCAACTGACCAAGGAAGGAGAGAGAGAGAAGAGAAGCGAACATTTTTCAGTCCCTATGATGGACTAAAATCTATCTGAATAAATTAATCTCAGTTCCAAGATTAAGGTATGGGTTATTTCCCTGCCTCGAAGATAAAGAAACTGAGGCCCATCGTCTACACCCCAGTTGTAGGTTCCAACTGACGGCTAAGCCCAGGTCTACGTTTTTCCAAACTTCGCATGCCCTGTTGCCCCCAAGAGTGTGCACTAAGAAACCGAGGTAGAAGAAGGATCAACTCCCTAAAAATTTTCTTACAATTTTGTTAATATGTAATATTACTCAGTGAGAAATAAACATATAATCACTGGTAGTAGAATATTTGTGCCACAAATCAATTAACTGAGCCACACAAGACATTTTTGGATCAACTATATTTTGAAGACTTCCCAAAGTGAATATACCTGAGTGTCTAAGATACTTTACAAAGTCCAGGGACAAAACCTGTTGTGAGTTATGACACCTGAACAGCTGTGAAGTGAGGGTAACAGCACAAGTTAAGGAGGACTTGTAAGCCATGTCATCAGAGCTGGGCAACAAGACGAAAAACAACAGCCTCAGCTGCCACTCTCAGAAACGTGGTGCTCACATGTGCCATGTCCACCCAGCCCACATTAAAGAATCAATCTAATAGCTAATAGCTATGGTAGGTTATAGGGATATGTTTTTCTGAGTATTTTATTTATTAAAACAAAAACCTTGAGGGAACTCAATACTTTGGGCTTCCTTAGTATTAACCATAAATAGCTATTTTGCTAATAATATTTAGTTTTTACAGTTTCCTGAGGTTCCACATACAGAAAAATACTCCTTCTGCCCCCAACCACCCTTCCAAAAGACAAACTCTATTCTAAGTTCTGCTGTTTCTCCTTCTAATTCTCCGGGGGGGGGGGGTTCCTGTTTTCTTTGCTGACTCCTTTCAACAACAGCCTTGCCCCAAGTCTTTATGTGACCTGTACACTTTCTATTCAACAAACCTCACCCAGGCCATGACTCTGCCTCCCCACCACACGCACTCCAACCCCCACCTGCTCACCGCTCACCGCCAGAGCAGTGCCCCAGTCCCTGAGCCCCCGCTCGGAAGAGCCCACATCGCGCCAGCACCTCGTATGGCACTCGTACGCAAAACTATCTTCCACCCCAAATGTTTTTCATTCCACAGTCCATCAACATCTGCTTACTAATAAGGACAGGGGCGTTGTCCTAAATGCCTCTGTCTCAGTGAAATCCAGCCTTGACCAGTTCCTGACAATTCTGCCCTTAAACATTTCTTCAGTGCTTTCTTCTCTACGCCCACTGACAGTGACTGAGCTCACGGCCCTCACCCCTTCCACGGGCAATGCAGTACTTGCAACCGGCACGTATGCTTCTAACGGCAATTCCTCAAATCGACCTTCCACTTTGCTTCCATAGTAATCTCTCAAGATAGGATGCTTAGGCAAAATTGAAAGCTTTCTAAATCCTAGCTTAAACTCTTCAGCAACTTATTAACAAAGCACATCAAATTCTTCCACCAAAGTACCCCCAATGGCAATGGAAAATAAATATGAGTATCTAGGGGCACAGGCTAAGTGATCTGCAAAAAACTTCCTATTTCAACCTAAAAATGCATATAAATGTTGCATTCTAATCCACAGTAAAACATTTCTCATCACAAAAATATTTTTTAATTTACTGATAAAAACTGATACTCTAAGCTGGCTATCTATATCGTGACTCACATTTCTAGCTCAAACTGAATATTCTTTGAGGGAACCATGGATTCATCCTCAGAAATTCCTTTCAGCAGGAATGTCAAACTCCCTCCCATGGCACCCAAGTGCCTTTAGGTCTGGTGTGTGGTTAGCACATGTTGGTATTTCTGAGTGTTCCTCTTATCCTTTTCAAGATTTTTACTACTTTTCTTTTTCTTCTTTATATTTTCTCTCCTTCTTATTTTCTTTTCTCTCTCTCTCTTTTTTTTTTTGGTACATGTATTTATAAATCGCTTCAAATCCTTGACAGAATAAGACAGAATATAACGATTTGGGTCTCAAAAATAATCTATTAGAATATATATGGATCCAAAAAGTCCCTCATCTAGTTATTTTATATCACCAACACTCAAGCATTGTGAAGTATACAATTAAGATTCAGTGACCAGGTGCTAAATACGCACATGATGTTTAGGTGGCCAACTTCCATCACAGCCAGAGGCTGTGCAGAACATGTTACATGGAAACACACTCAGAAGAAACGGAATTCTCGCAATTTCTGTAATGGGGCAGAATCCAGTGACCGTGCATTGTGGTGTGTAAGTCTTACTTGGATCCCATCTCAAATAAAAGATTTATCTGAGGCAATCAGGAACATGTAAACAATAACTAGGTATTTGATAATATTAAGGAACTATTGTCAATTCTTTTATATGTGATAACAGCATTGTGGTTATGTTTTGCTTTGGTGTTTTTTGTTTTGTTTTGTTTCTTTTTAAGAATCCTTAACCTTTAAGAAAATATAACAAAATATTTATAGTTGAAATAATGAGAAGTTTGGGATTTGGTTCACAATAATAGTTTGGGAACAGGGCAATGTATGTTGGAAGCACAGAAGAAACACAAATTGTTAATTATCAAAATTTAGTGATAGGTATATTGGGTTCATTTTATGGTTTTCACTTGTATATATTTGAAGTTTTGTAGAATTTTTTTAAAGGCTATACTGAGGAAAGAAAAATACATAACATTAAACATATCTCTACATGAACAGGACTCTTCTACATAAGGCAAAATGGATGCAACACACTTGTTACAAAGAGGTTACGTCCCCCCATTGCTTTAGTTAAGGAAACCTTAAGCATAGATAAAAGGTGTTAAATAGCACTCTTTAAACAGATATAGCACAGAAAAGCACTATAAAGCTTATACCTGAATCAGGCCGCCCATCTGAGCTCCGAAATTCCTGCATTCTCTTTTCCAATTTCTGTTGCCTCCGTCGTTTCATAACCACTTCAGGATTAGAAATTGTTCGAGTAAAGCTGGTTTCAGGCATGTCTTTGTAGACCTCAGCAGCCAGTCGGGAATTCTCACTGTAAGAAAAAAGAAAAAAAAAATCAATATTTTAAGTTTTTCTTATTAGAAACATATACATTATCATCATACGAAAGTCAAAATGGCAGTTATTATTTGGATACATCTGTCCCCTAAAGGTCTTACGCTATTTACCATGTGCTAACTATTAATACTGTGTGATAAGGAATATACTTTCTCTCGATACAAACTAATACACTGAACTAAGCAGATATCTATAATTAAAACTTTACGGTGAGTTTATTAATAGAGCTAAAAATGTATGGATTATAACATTTCAGTAATTTTTGCCAGTGTTATTCTGCAACAGACCAAATGAGTGATATTACACGATAACACTCCAATCACAAGAAAGGAGGATTAATTATACTTTAATAAAAACCTGTCTTAAGATTATAGCAAATCTTGAAGAACCAAAATTAATTAAATAGGATGATTTTTAACACTTAATGATTTTCCAATATTCACTTTCTTGAACTTAAACTTTCAAAAGGAAATTGATCCAACAGTTTATGTGAAGGAGTCAAATGTATAGGATGACGAATGCAAAACAATATTAGGCAAGATGGAAAAACTGATTTACTTGATTAAATTTTAATAAATATACTTTAAAGATATAATTTTTAATTATAAAAATAATTTAATTAAAGATCAGACAAGCTTCTAATAAATCAAGGTAGCAACATAGCTCATTTTAAGTAGTTCATGTTCTAAATCAAATAATGTATCACCCCATAAACTAAGGCGATGAAGAGAACAAGCCATAAAGCATGTTTTAAACCCTCCTTTGATTATTTTTCATTTATGAGCAATGTATCTATGCAAGCTGCATAACTGCATTAGAGCCTAATCATGTAATACTAGACTGAAGTGATCACACAGGCATCACTGCCTAGTAGACTAATATCTAAACCCACTTTGATACAACCCAAAATGGGCTCAAATTCTACTGTAAAGTATATAAGGTCTGTCCGGAAAGTATCTAGCAATGTGATATGAAAAATTGAGACATTTAATGAAAAAGATACAAGATACAAGAAACACTATACAGGGCAATGATGCTTTAGTTCCCTTCAAAGGGGACTAAAGGGACCTCACACAATTCTCCCAGTGTCTTAATCTGACCCGTACATGTTCAACATTCTCAGATGTTCTGCTTGTCGCAGGCCTTCCAGAATGTGGATCACTTCCAACAGATTCTCAACCATCTCCATAGTGTTTGTGCAACACTTTTATTTGTGATGCATTTACTGCATGGCCCCGAAAGCCTTCTGAATCATCTGAATAGTTTCTGAGAAATGTTCAAGCAAAATTTCATGCAGATTTGTTGCTCTACCTGCTCAGTCATTTAGAATGTGACAGCCACACAGCGCACATGCTCTCAATGGCGTCTAGTGCCCCGCTGACTGGTACAGTGAAGTCGTCACTGTTCACACATGTGCGCTACAGTCTACTCTCCTTGCCTCCAGGTTACATCGATGTCGTGCAAAGCACTATTGTTATATGAACAATGGCTGGATACTTTCTGGACAGCCCTCATATATTTATTCACTGGCAAATGGTTAATATCTTCACAATACATACAGAACACTTAGTATCAATTAAAAAATGGGACAAAGCCATGGAGAGGTCACTGCAACAGAAGAAAATATATAGGCAATGAACATATGGGAAGATTATGGAAGACATTATACACTGTGGAGATGCACTGTTCCGTGACACCCAAAGCTGCAGGGTGTAAGGAGAGGAGCGGTCTCGTGGGCTACGCAAGAGGGTTCAGAACACGTGAAAGCATCCAAACCTGTCATCTAGCCCTTCTTCTAGAACACACCCTGAGAAAATAATCAGATGAGTTCCCACAGTCATAGAACAAGGACATTCACTGGAGTATTTACAATGCCAAAAAAACTATAAACAAACTACAAGTTCACCACAAAAAGACCAGTTACGTAAATTATGGAAGAACTGTATGACAGACTGCTGCACAATCACCTAAAATGTTTTTGTGAAACATAAATATCTCTGTGGAAAAATATCAAGTAAAATGCTCTAGTTCAAAAGACTATGATTATACTTCTGTTTAAAACCTCTCTATATAAGCATATGAAGTATATACATTTATACAGAAAAAACAAACTAAATTATAGATCTCTTTCGGCCCATGTGACAATACATGACTACTCTTTTTGGCAAATCTATATACCATTCTTTTTCTTTCTTTCTTTTTTAAAGAGACAGTGTCTCGCTCTGTTGCCCAGTGCAGTGGAACGTACTAGCACACTTGTAGCTCATGGCTCACTCTAACCTCCAACTCCAGGGCTCAAGCCATTCTCCCTCGTCAGCCTCCCAGGACTCTGGAGCTACAGCTGTGAGCCACCATGCCTGGCCTTACATTCTGACTTTGTAAAACATGTGTATTACTTCGGCGATAGAAAAGTAATACACAGAATACTACGGCGTCAACACCGAGGCAACAACAAGCTGCCTGTGAACAAGCATAGGATAACCACGAACTGACCAAACAACTGGAACCGCCAGAGGGGAACTGGGAACTGCACATCAGGGTCCAGCTCCTCCTACCCTCTTTCCATTACAACAAAAACACAAGATGCCCTGCTCCCTGGGCTCCTTACACAGGCAAGGTCTACCTACAGTGGGGCTGGTGAGACGGAATAAAGAATGGGGGTAGGGCTGGAGGGAAGCAGACGTGATGTGAGCCTTCAGAGGGGACTCTGCTTTTTTCCTGGCCTTGCCAGCCTCTGACTAGGTTCTGAGTGCACCACCGCTGCCTCGGAGACCGGAATCACGGAAATGAGAAGAAAGGACCAAGTGAAGATGAAGAGAAGAAACAATAATGTTAACTAGAGCTGGCTTATTTAAGATTAGCAAGACTGTGGGTGCAGAGATTCTTCTCAAGCACAGCAAGACAGGCTTTGTAGCAAGGAACCTTGCTTAGGTAAGATCCTCTCTTCTCCCTCAACACGGAAGAACCAGAAGCATACCACATAAGTTTCTTGACTGATATTCATCTTTTTCGCAATTTATCTGGTAATTTAACAAGTTTGCTACAGTAAAAACATCTGGTTTAGAGTACAAAGAAACAGGAATAATTTCAGAATTAACTTACATGTCATCCCCTTGGAAAAGTCTATCATCTTTATCAGATGCCTGCCGCAATGCCTCTTTTTCTCTCTTCTTTTTTTCCTTCTTTTCTTTCTTTGAAAGTGTTCTCTTGAAATTCTGGATAACACCTTCTTTTTCTTGTTTTTCGGGTCCATTACTTTGAGCCTTCTGATAAAAGGAACATTATCACCATGTGACTACTACACAGAATCGCTTAAAGCTACCTACGGCTTAGCTAAGTTCATCTCACACAGCCAAAAACACAGCTACTGGAACAAGAAAACCTCTGGAGTGATGGAAATGTTCCTTATCTTAATTGGGCTGACAGTTACACGAGTGTATTTACCAAAACTAACTTAATTGTATACTCAAGGTTTGTGCATTTCACCATAAATTTTATCTCAATTAAAACAAGTAAAGAAGCAAACAAAAAACCAAAGCCAGTAAGAAAACTCCAAATAATTTACATAAAGTGACTTTAGTAACAGGAACCTAATGAAATTATGGAACTAAAAAGTTTAAATCATTATTTACTTTATAGAAGTTTTTCTTTAACTTCAAGGAAATGTTAAGAGTAGCCATAATAAATGGGCTTTTATGAAGCAGCCATAAGTACTGTGTCTGTTTAAAAATTTCTAACTTCTTTTCCAGATCTTGTTTATTTGCTTGTTTATTAATTTATATTTTAATCCACAATCATGGCCTGCTCAAAATGACAGAGTTACACTGTTTTTTTTATGTATAACTTAATAAGAAAACATTAAGAAAAAGAATAACTATTGTAGTGGGAAAGAAAACTGCTTCCTGTGTTGTAAGTTATGAGAGCAAAGAGCATTAACATCCCAGCTCCACGCGTAGGCGTTCACAGCATTGCACAGGCCTTAAGAAGAGATCCAGTCCGTGCCAACGAGGCTCCACGGCAAAGCGCACAGAACAAAATAACACCAGCTAAAACTGTGGTGCAGAAATGAAACGCAGCATGGAGAGCAAAACTGTGGGAAGCCATCCTTAGTTTGCCGCGTCTGCTGCGAATGCAGCAGGTCACTAGAGCACAGCAACAAGAAAGGTCAAGAATACATTCTGCACACATACCCAGGACTCTTTAACATGGAACACTGACATCACACAAAATGAAAATTTTCTCCTGCTAAAAGTGAATAATGGTAGTCTTTTCCCCATCTTTTGGGGGAAAAAATTAAACAGCAGATTTTTCCTCAAAATGCCCTTAGCCTTTGCACACCTGCCGCCACTTATCAATGCTGAATTCTTGTGTGAGGGGCTGCTTGACTTAGCACAGAGCTGCACAGGGACTTTGAAATTGCACTGACGTTTCATAGTGTTTCGCAAAATAAGAGCAGCAGCCCAGGAACTCCTGGTATCCTGCCACTTGAGAAAGTTTAGAGCCGTTTTATCACATCATCCAAAGAAACCCAAGAAAGTTCAATGATCCCTAACCTTGTATATGTGACATGAATAGGTTTTAAGTGTGTCTTATTAAGCAACTAAAAGTTTACACAGAAATAGGTTATCATAGTTTTATTTTCCCTTTTGATTATTAATAGAACAATTTTCATTATAAAATTTGGTGAAAAAAATTTGAGCTGATTACTTGATCATTAAAACTCTCAGTAACAAAAGCATACATAACTCTTCTTTGAAAAGTGAGAAGCAATATCTGGAATTATCGGGTGAAATAAAGGATAAAGCAAGGAGAAAGGGGCTACTTTTGAATTATTTTCTGGGAGAAGGATAAGAGTTTAGGAAGAGAAGCAAAAGGGAGAAGGAGCTCCAGTAACAAGACATCAATCTGTCAGTCAGACCTGACCCAGAACCAAGATCGGCTCCTACCTTAGGAGGGAGGGCATCGTTCTCATTCTTAAGAACAAACCTGCCCTCCCGATCATCTTTGTTCCAATTCAATTGCACAACTAGAGGTTTCTCATCTATATCCAATCTTCTTTCTTCTTCAAAACATGAAATGAGAAAAAGAATAAGCCATGGTTATTTACTGGCACTAGCTAATTAGTACTTTGATATACATTTAATTTTATAGACATAAAGCATTGTATTACCTCAAGTGCCTACTTACAGATTGAAATGTATTGTTCAAAATGTTAAATCAAAGTATAAATTAATAATATTTTGCTGCTACTGTATATCTATCACCAGGTATCCAGTGATAGACACTGACTGGGGCAATTCCCTCATTTAATTCTAATTAGGAAAATAAGAGAAATATACATGAACTAGTAAAAAAAAAAAGTATACATGGTTTTGCTATCAGTCTATTACTGTGAATCAAATTATCTCATATACAACTGGAAAATAAGGAAAAATATTAAGATAACACTGATTCATATGAGATTTTTCTCTTCACATTGTCATACACTACAAAGCAATGACAATAGCCCACCATCAGCCTTCAAAGTGATTACTGCACTATTCTTCCTGTCTCTGTACACCTGCTGCTGGTCTCCAAACTTGCCAACTTCAACCTACACATCTTACATCTCCTTCCACCATAAAGCTGCCACCACTTTTCTTATGTAAAGTACTGTATTTGGTGTATTAGGTTATTAAGTATGAAATGTCCAATTTACTTAAGTACTAAGTTTGACAGTTGCTATCTCTGACATTTCACTTTGACACTTCTTAATTTATTCTTATTGGGAAGATACATCCTCATTCTTTGAAATGCACAATTTGGCTTGTGATTATCTTTCAGATTTTTTTTAGAGGAATTTTTGTGAAATCATGTTTAAGTCAAAAACCTGTGTTGTTTCTGAATGTAGTTCTGCCATGGAACAAAATGCTGCACAGTCAGCTTGAAATATCAACAAAGTATTTGGAAAGGATTGTGGCTAATGATCGCATAGTACAATATGGTTTGAGAAGTTCCATTCTGGTGATTTTAATCGTGAAAATGAGCCACATGGATGACCTGAGACTAACGTGGATAATGATGAGCATAAAGCTGTAGTGGAAGTGAATCGTCTCAACCTATGTGTGAATTAGCAGCAAGGTTTGACATTACCATTCCAACAGTATGGGACCACTTGAAACAAATGGTTTACTTGGCAAAGTAAAGAAGATGGGTAGATGGTTCCGCATGAAGTAAATGAGAATCAGAAGAAAAATCGTCTTGAAGCTTTCTTTTGTTTGTTGTCATGACATAAAGGTAAACCATTTCTAGACCGTATTATTACACGTGTGATGAAAATGGATTGTTTTTGACAATTGCAAGTATTCTTCGATAACTATGAAGTGCTGAAACACAGTCCAAAACCAAATATTCATCACAAAAGACTAATGGTATCGTTTGGTGGTCCAGAGCTGGTATTACCCACTACAGCTTCATGAAACCTGGTCAATGAATTACAGTGGATGTCTATGGCAACCAACTGGATTACATAATGAGGATGCTATGCCAAAAATTTAAATTTTAAGTGAGCAATAGTTTTACTCAGAAACAAAAACTGACACCACAATGATGATGACGAGGATGAGACTGATATTACTACTGATATTACTACTGATATTACTAACAATGTTGACAAAGACTGTTCAGGTAATTGTATGCAGGATATGCTACAATGAGGCTAGTGAAAAGAATTATTGTGTAAAGGAAGAGTCAACAGGAAGAACTTAAAAGATAAACAGACATAAAAAGGCTTTTAGTAAATATCACATATAAAACTAATGCTATCAGAATATATGAATAACAAATTTTAAATAATTATTTTATCAGCTGAAAATGAGAAATGAAAATCAAGAGTAACAAATTAGAACTAGAACATTAAGTTTGAACTCCTGCATAAACTAAAATTATCAAGTTGTTTTTGTTGCAAATTATACACTAGATCAAAATACTTCATAGAATAACTTTTAGAGAACATTATGTCTAAATCATAAAAATAAAACAAGAAGGGTGGTATATTCTAAAAGCATGTAACTGACCACTGAATGTAAACAGTCAGGATACTCTTGGTCCTACTGTACCTTTAAACATTTAAGATATCTTCTGCCTTAGCAGTTTTGTATACGTTTTTTAAAGTAGCATAAACTTTTTTGTATATTTCCAATTGAATATAAGGAATCCAATTTATATAAAGAATTCTACTATATAAAAATGATAAAAGCAGAGTTTCCCTGGTGGGGCCCAGGCTATAGCCCACTAGGGCTACAGTATCCAAACTCGCAGAGGAGATCACAGGCACTGATATGTGTTGAAATTTTCAAGGGAAACAAGGTGCATCTGCCAGACACCCAGAGATCTCCTGGTCCAGGTGGCTCCTAGTCCACAGCAGATTGTGCAGCATTCCTGTCTGTGTCACTTCCGCACAAAGCAGGGTTTTCCATAGTGCTGTAATAAACACCAAGCACTGTCCGCAAATCAATACGGGTGAGAACATGAGGGCTCCCTGGGTCTGAGGAGCTCCGCAAGGCCCAAGAGGCACATCTGTCCCATCAGGGAGTAGTTGTGATTAAGAATAACATGTAAATGTCATTTTCTTTTAATTTTAATGTGTACTATTTTTTTAAGTATCTACCAGATTATTTTATTAGTTTTTAAATACTTACTAATCTGTCTAACTACTTAATAAAAAACTACTACATATTTCCTTTGGCCTAGTGGTGCCATTAAAAAATTACCGAGATACTAAGGGTCTGTGATCCAAAAACAATCGAGAACTGGCATGCTAGAGTTTTCCTCTAACCCAAGGCAAAGGTGAAAAAAAACATTGCTCTCAGAAAAATAGTGTGGAAGAGCATGTGAGTGGGTGGGGAAAACACCAATTCCTTTTTCTTTAAACGTGTTTATTTTGTTTTCACCCCTTACAAATAATATATTTTGCCTTTTAATTAAAAATAAATTCAATAAAGAAAATTTAAAGGAAAAAAAGTTCTTTAAAAAAAATCAAACTCTACCGGGCGCAGTGGCTCACGCCTGTAATCCTAGCACTCTGGGAGGATGAGGTGGGCGGATCACTCAAGGTCAGGAGTTCGAACAAGAGTGAGATCTCGTCTCTACTAAAAATATAAAGAAATGAATTGGCCAACTAAAAATATGTAGAAAAAATTAGCCGGACATGGTGGTGCATGCCTGTAGTCCCAGCTACTCAGGATGCTAAGGCAGAAGGATTGCTTGAGCCCAGGAGTTTGAGATTGCTGTGAGCTAGGCTAATGCCACAACATTCTAGCCTGGGCAAAAGAGTGAGACTCTGTCTCAAAAAAAAAATCAAACTCATCTGATTTTTGGCTCACAAATTACAATCTTACATAATATTCCAAAGACTTCCCTTGATGGTATTTAACCAGCCAAACAGCACAGACAAAAAAAGGGGCGGACATGACAGAGATTTTCTTCTTTTTTATAACCTACTGACAAAGACTCTAAAGTAAACAAAATACTCAGTCTCAGAAAATTCATCCAAAATTGAGAACCTTCTTATTGTCAAATTTAGTCTTGGTATTATTTAATGAAGGTGATACCCTTATGACCTTAAAAAAGTAGGAGAAAAAAACTGGCATGCCTTACATACTACCCAGGGGGAAAAAAATGTTTAGTCACACCTGAAAATCCCACACATAACAAACATTTTAATCAAAGTTCAGATATACAAAGAAATCTGTACTTCTGACGTAAATAAAAATAATGTTCAAAACGGTTTGTGGACAGAAGTTAAGGGGTATTCAAATTGGGTCTGTGTTGTATGTAATCCTTTATTTGCTGCACTAATTGGAATTTGCATTTTTTTACACATTATTAAACATTTCCAAAGCACCCATAAATATTTTATAAATTTCTACATTTCTAACAGTCCAACTTAAGCTGCCATTTGATAAAGCTATACAAGATATATTCTGAAATTTCTAATGTTAATACAAGGAAAAATTACTCAATACATAAAGTTTCCTCAAGGTGCCCTAATTATTCCCAAAGAATAATGACAGTATACTGTTTCAGAATGCAAAAATATATTAAATACCGAGACTGATGATTCATACCTGCATAATATTAAACTGGGTTACAACTGATTATATCATAATTGTAACATTAAAACTTATACACAAGAGTTACATAAAAACATTCTCAAAAAGTAGGGAACATACTACAGTATCTATGTATGTGACACCCAATATGTGAGATACTTTAATTATGAAATGTCATGCTACTTATCTTCGGAGAAATAAGCATATGTAAAAAAATATAGTCATTCTAATTCTA